GAAATATCATGGGTCAGGAAGGAAGGACCCAGTACATGGAAACCATGTTCCCTCTTTACAGGTAAGGTTTGGCTTAAATGTTTCTTGTTTATCATCTTCTTTTCTTGGCTACCATCCCCACTCACCTAAACCTTCAGATTCCTGTCCCTGCAATTCGAGTTAATTCTGTAGAATGCATTTGTTTGACACGCTTTTACAAAAATTTTGCAGCTTATTTGGATTCATTGTTCTACATATGGTTATGTATGCTGCCAATGTATACTTATGGAGGCGGTATCGAATTAATTATGCCTTCATATTTGGTTTCAAGCAAGGAACGGAACTAGGCTACAGAGAAGTGCTCCTTGTAAGTTTTGGTCTTGCAGCATCGGCACTAGCAAGTGTGCTCTCAAATCTTGATATGGAGATGGATCCCAAAACAAAGGATTATGAAGCATTCACTGAAATTATCCCTTTGATCTTGGTGGTGGTAAGATTATTGAATTTGATCCTAATGTGATGAACTCGTTTTGCCACCCGGCCCACCCCCATTCCATCAGCAACTGATTTCTTGGTTTCTTCTTTGCTCTGCAGCTTGTTTTTTATACTGTTCTTGGCCATTTCAAACATCTTATATCGATCCAGGTCGTTTCTTCTTCCTCACATGTTTGTCTCCATTGTATCTGTGCCCTCCTCTTACAAGGTAAAAGAGAGATAGCTGAAGGTTTTATAAGAATAGCAAAAACAAAACTTCGTGGAACTTAAACGATCGAATCTAATTACTCTGTTAAATTACATTTCCTAGCAGGTTCACACTCCCAGATTTCTTCTGCGAAGATCAGTTTAACTAGATCAGGTCTGTGACATGAAACCTTGGCTACTGAAATGACATGACTTTGTTTGAAATGGTCACCGATATAAAAGTTTCAACCCTTTGATTGTTTCAGGTGCAAGCATTTAGAAGCCTTGAGTTTTACGTTTTGCTACTATGGTTGGGGAGACTTTAGACACAGACGAAACAGTTGCAAAACCAACGATGTATTCAACACTTTTAGCTTCATTATTGCTGTGATTTCCATATTGGTGTCGCCTCCTTCAGGTACTTATCTGTTTATTCACCAATCTTGAATTCAGGTAGCCCTTTTTAGAAGCCTAGCACAAACTTTAACTTGATTTTTCAGTGCCTACGTCGATTGTTTGAAGAGAGAGACCCCTTGCAAGGATATAATGGGCTGAAATATTTCATCACAATCGTAGCCCTTTGTTTAAGAACTGCTTACAGTCTTAACAAGGGGATAGGTTGGAAAGTATTAGCTGTCATTTTCTCAGTTGCTGCTGCTATTTTGGTACTTACTGGGACCTTGTCTTTGACTGGGGACTTCTGCATCGGCATTCTAAGAACAGATGGTTGAGAGACAAACTCCTTATCCCTCAAAAAAGTGTATACTTTGGTGCCATGGTGAGCATAAAGCTAGATGAAATTGAAACATTTGCTCAGCATTCTATTCTATTATCTGTCTAACAATGTTTTATTCATTCAAAATGCAGGTCCTCGATGTTCTGCTGAGATTTGCGTGGTTGCAAACAGTGTTCAATTTCAATTTGTTTGATTTGCATAGACAAGCCTTGATCACCATAGTCGCCAGCCTTGAGATCATCCGGCGTGGCATGTGGAATTTCTTCAGGTAATTAAGATGTTTTGTCCGTGTTATCTGACCAATTCAATCTTGAGATTAAATCTCAACATTTTTCTAACCTTCTTTCAGGTTAGAAAACGAGCATTTGAACAACGTGGGAAAGTACCGTGCATTCAAGTCAGTGCCATTACCTTTCAACTATGATGAAGATGAAGACAAAGATGAATAGGTTGTTCAAGTTCAACAAAGTAAAGAAATGTGTGAAACTCAAACAGGAAGCAGCAGTAAAAAACTTGTTGTAACTAATTATCATTTGATTCTTTCTCCTTGTAGATCCTGTCCTACACTTTTTGGGGGTGCCATTAGAAGATTGATTAATCAAATTAGTGATTCACTTTCCTCTTTGCTTCCTCAGCTTTAAACATCTAATAAAAATGTCACCAGGGAAGTTAACACAGGAATAAAACCTGATTGCTTGAATATACAAAACGACTGAGATCGATTGAATAAGAGCCAACAGTTTTTGAAGATTTGAGTCAAAGTTATACAAATCTAACTTCAATCATTTCTTTTGAAAATATTCAAAAGCTAGGCTACAAATTATACGCATATCCTACAGGAGAAAACTACATACACTTTTATAATTCGATCAAAAATCATGAAGAAATATGACAACATTTTTTATAATTCGATCTGGGTATCTAGTATTTTATTTGGATCTAATCACCCGTGAACAATTTTATTAAAAAAACTTAAAATATTTTTCAAAAAATATTGATGAAAAATGAAAGCTCTATAGCATGCTATACTTGCTTCTTAATGTGTTTTATTTTCTTACTTAAAAATAATGAAGCATGCAAATGCATGTTGTGACAGCTGAGCAGCATGAACCTCCTCCATCGGGTTGCGGGTGCGCCGATCAGCTGCTCCCTGAATTGCGGTAGTGAAATGGCAGAACCGTAAATAGAACTATCTAAGCCGCGTTCACGTTTGACCATGACACACCTTAACTTGCATTTTGTAACTTCTTCACTTCAAAGTTCAACCACTTTGTTCTGTTCTGTTTCACTTCGCCTTTTATTTTGCCCAAAATCCAACCAAAAAGATTTTACCCAAAAATTCAACTTTAGATTTTTTTTTTTTACTTTTATTGGTTTTGCTTCGAATGGATCTAAATTTGTTGAGACGACGATCGCTGTTTTCTTCAAAGTCATCTCGGTCCTCTTCCAGGAGTTCAGGATTCGACGCCATGCGGTTCACCAAGAGCCTGGCTACTTTCCTCATGGCTCTCCCTATTCTCATCATGCTCACCATGATCCTCAGACACCAGCCCCCGATCGTTTGACGGGATTCGCTGACGCTAGACCCTTCTCCACCAATGTTACTACGCCCCCACTACTAGGTACACAACACAATTTTGATACTACTCTTACAAAGTAGAATTATAACGGATTAGATATGCATAAATCTTGCTAAATCACAACCCGATTTTAATAGGATTGAGTTTCTATAACCTCGAAGAAAATCAAGATTCAATCCTGTCAAAGTAGAAATTCAATTGATCAATTGGTAGTGATTGATCTTGCAGCAATTTATACACTTATAGTAGTATGTCTCAGTTCTTGTTTCTTTTCAATTCTTTGGTTCAGAAGTTGATGTCTCTCAATCTACTGACATGGCTAAAGACAAACTACTTGGTGGGCTTCTTGCTTCTGGGTTTGATGAACATTCTTGTTTAAGTAGGTACGAATCGATTTTGTATCGCAAAGTTTCACCTTACCAGCCTTCTGCATACCTTGTTTCTAAGCTTAGAAATTATGAAGATCTTCATAAACGTTGTGGACCCAACACTCAACCCTACAATAAAACAGTGGAACAACTCAAGTCTGGTGGTAGTGTTGGTTCTACGGATTGTAAATATGTTGTCTGGGTATGTTATAGTGGCTTGGGGAACAGGATTTTGACTCTGGCTTCAGTATTTCTTTATGCTCTTTTAACAGAGAGAGTCCTGCTTGTTGACCGAGGGAAGGACATGGCTGATTTATTCTGCGAGCCATTTCCTGAGAAATCATGGTTCTTGCCCCCGGATTTCCCTATCACTAATAAGTTTAACAGCTTTGGTCCCAAGTCTCCTGAATCCTATGGGAACATGCTTAAGAATAACCTTATAAAAGCTTCAATGGAATCAGAGCCATCGTATCTGTATCTCCATCTGGCTCATGATTATGATGACCATGACAAGCTCTTTTTCTGTGATGATGATCAAGCTCTTCTCAAAAAGGTGCCTTGGTTGATTGTGAGAACAGACAACTACTTTGTCCCCTCTCTTTTCTTGATGCCATCGTTTGAGCATGCACTATGCATGCTGTTTCCCGAGAAGGAAACCATATTTCACCACTTGGGTCGGTATCTTTTTCACCCATCAAATCATGTGTGGGGATTAATCACAAGGTACTATAAAGCATACTTGTCCAAGGCAGATGAGAGGGTTGGAATCCAAGTAAGAATTTTTGATAAAGGACCCGGTCCATACCAATATGTGAAGAATCAAATTTCAGCCTGTACCCTTGGAGAGAAGCTGTTGCCTGAAGTAGATATTAAAGGATCAATTAATGTCACTCCATCAGAGAACTCAAAGGTGAAAGCTGTTTTGATGACTTCTTTGGTTTCTGGTACTTTGAGAACGTGAGAAACATGTATTGGGAACACCTACAGTGAATGGTGACATAATTGGGGTTTACCAGCCAAGTCATGAAGAGCAGCAGCAGACTGAAAAGCGATTGCACAACATGAAGGCATGGGCAGAAATGTATCTGCTTAGTTTGACTGATGTGCTAGTCACAAGTGCCTGGTCCACATTTGGCTATGTAGCTCAGGGTCTTGGAGGTTTAAAGCCATGGATCCTTTACAAGTCTGAAAACCAGACAACCCCTAATCCACCCTGTCAGCGTGCCGTGTCAATGGAGCCTTGTTTCCATGCTCCTCCCTTTTATGACTGCAAAGCTAAGAAAGGAATTGATACAGGTAAAGTTGTTCCACATGTGAGACATTGTGAAGACATTAGCTGGGGTCTTAAGGTAGTAGATAGCCATGCTGAGTTATAGCTGCTTCAGGGATTTTAGTTTTACCAATTTTGCCTAGAAAATTTGGTAGAAATACAATTGTTTTGATTTTGACTGTGCTATACCGCAATTAAGACTTCAGTATTTTCTCACAGATCACATTTATTCATTGGATTTGCCATTTTCTAGGCCAACTTCGGCTTTCTCATACATCTTGGCCCACATTATGAGTTATTGATTTCTGTTATAAATCAGGTCCAACATTGCAGCCAAGTTGAGCTCAATACAAAAACAAACTGGAAAAGGAGTTAAAATTTTCTTATTTTATCTAGAAAGATCAATTTTAATCATCCATAATAGTCCTTTTTAAAAAATTTCAATTTTTTTATGATATAAATATTACATACAACATAAAAAAAGTTAATAAATAAACAAGCCAATTACAATTTAATTAACCAACATATATAGGTAGAAGAAAATTGAATATAAAATTTGATTAAGTTCATACATTATTATGAGATTTAAAGCTGAGTTCTAAAGTTCTAATTTTTAACTTTTGCTAAAATGTAACCAAAAAGAAAAAAAAAACTTGCTAATTAACTTATGAAAACAACATTAATTGAAAAAAAATTCAGAAAACATAAGTGATACTAAAAAATTAGCATTAAAGGGTGGTCAACGGTTTGAGTGTACAATTTTGGTATAAATAGAGGGAATTATAACTTGAATTTGAGACCTATCTCTTACCTCCCAAATTTTGATAAAATTTCTATATGAATCAATAATTTTCTTGAACATAAATCATTTGGAGCTTATAATGTAAAATTCACTTTGAAATTTACAATATAAGAGAAAATTTAATGGCAAAATAATTAAGGCTATTAAAATTACGAGAAAACTTTTTTTTAATACTTGATATTATCTAAATTAAATCATGAATCAATATAATTAAGAGTCTAATATCTTACCAATAAGCTACAGTCAACCAATCATTAAAAATAAAAATTTAACACTCTATCAACATGTGACATAACTATTGGTAAAATTATAAGAAAAAAATGTCGGATAGAAAATCATATTTTGAAAACTTAAGAATAAAATTTTGCATGCATTAATCAGGAAACAGAGAAGAAAAAATGGCAAACAAACCAACCAAATTTATAAACCATTGGTTAACCGTCAATATTGGTTTCGGCCAAGGATATCCCTATTATTATCTGCTACTACTTGAAGCTCTAAAGTTCTTACCTGCAATTTTTGCAGCTTTACAGGCGTTATCATGGCTTTGCAGCACAAATTAACAAAAGCCAATGACTGTCACTCCATTTTGCAATGCATGCTTGCTTGTTCCTCACTGTCATGCTCTCTAACTACCTTCTGCTCATTTTTGTCAGTCCTGACAGGTTCGACGTCTTCGACTCCGTCCATATGGCTTCATAACTACTTCCAGTGCCGATAGTTAAGGCAGCCTGCAGCTTCGAACGTAAGTGTTCTTGCTTCTTAGATTTTTATAGTCCTCGGGGTATTTGTATCTTGATGTTTTATATATTAACCGAGAATGCTGATTCTCACATATGAAGGTTAAAGCAACTTATTGATCCCCGTTTATGCATGCACTTGAACCAGCCGGTTTGAAGATGATTAATCCAATGAGGCAGATAAAACTCAAGAATCTGATAGAAAACGAAAGGATTTGCGACGGATACAATATTGATGCAGCTGTTCTTTACCCGTGAGGTAAACAAGTACAGAACTTAAGCGCACTCAAAGGGATGACTGGAGGCAACTGGCTAGCTAGATGTTAATTGGTAGCCAAGTACCTGGTGTAGCAATAGTTAGTAAAAGTGATACATTGAATTAAAGCCATGAAATTAGGCTTAGGCTGAAATATACGACTGAGTTCTTCACTACCGCTGCAGGCTTCGGGTGAAATATTAAGTTTGCAATGCTTTATGTTCATGTATCATGCAGCAGAAACTGTTCACCTCAACGTGCCTTCACAATTTATTTCTGATAATTTTTAGGAGGAGAATGTGAAAAATGCTTTTCATTTGTAACTTGATCTGCATATGACCAATTCAATGCCAGAATTGTTTTTTATTTTATTTTATTTTAAGGTTGTGTTTTATTTTTTTACATATAACTTTTTAATTAAAAAGCATTTAATCTAATGTTCAATGTAGAATTCCATAATTTTCAAAATGTTCAATTTAGTTTTTTTTTTTTATTTTTAGATGATTCAACAAAGAAAAATCAGTTTCACCTATAGCTTCCATATGGCAAAAATTATTATGTCTTATCCTTGTGGTCAATTAGTAGGGACAAAACTTACGTCTTTAGGTGAAATTTGTGAAATTTTTTAAATGATTTAATAAAAAATTTTTAAAAAATCTAAACCAATAAATTGTTAAAATTTAATATGAAAATCAATAATATGTAAAAAATTATTAAAAATATTATTTATAATTCAAATTTAATCGATATTTATTTAACGATAAAAATTTTATCAATATTTTTATTAAAAATATTTATTTAAAAAATATATCAAAATTTATTAAATTTTTTTAAAATTTTATACACTTAATCTATATAATGAGATCTTTTAATTTATCAATTTTTATTTTTATTTAATCGTTTTTAATAATAAACTTCATCTAAAAAACTTTATCTAAATCTTTTTCAATTAGTAAAGTTGCATTTTACTCTTTTTAACTTTTTAGATACATTTTTTATTCATTCTCTTCCTTTTTGCTATGTATATATATATTCTCTCTTTATCTATAAATTCGTTGTTTAAAAGGAAAGTTGCAGCAAAAATTAACCCTTTTCGCCATAAAAAACAAAAATTCTACTATATATGCAATTCTTGCCTAGATATATCGATCGCTCCCACCAAATTAATTTTCATTAAATTTTCCTACTCTATGCTCAGTCTGCCATCACTATGCAAAGTCCTATTCCCCCAATAATACTCTATGCTCAGTCCCAAACTCTCTCAACCTTCATTATCTTGACTCCCATGCATTGCCTTTCATGGGGTCATATGAATTCGAAGGTATTTATTATAAGGGAGTATATCATTTATAATTTTTTTATTATAATATTATAATTGTTCAATTAGAATAAAAATTTATGTAAAAATTCATTACTTATAAATGTAAATTTTATATAAAATTTTGATGAATCTCATATAATTTTAAATTATAACTAATTAATTGTATTATAGTTAATACAGATGATTTCACTTGTCAACAGTGGCATGCATTACCAAAGTTAACAAGCAATGTGATATGATATATATACGAGACATGCAGTTTCCTTTAGAGGATGTTTGAAAACAAAGTTATTAATTATATATGAAAGGTCAACATCTATTTTATATATAAAATTTCGGACTAAATTTGATGTCTTAATTTAGGTGATACAAACTGATCTGTAGATAATGAAATTTTATTAAAAGATCACAAATAAGTAGTAATATAAATATTTGAAAATCAAGTAAGTCCCTTAATAATGTTTCATTTTTGTTCAATTGGTATTTCCCTCCTCCATCGGGTAATCAAAATCATGCACCGAAATATCGGAAAAATTTTGTACGATGTTTCCTGTTGCGGCAGTCCAATGAAACGTGGTATCATGCAAAGTCATCGAGTTATCAAATCTTTCATCTAATTCTGGTACATGGTAGTTTGATCTGTCGTCCAAGATTAAATCATCTTGAGCAATTCCTCCGAAGCATGCAAATGAACTAGCTGCTGCTGCTGGTGGAAGCTCGATGATGGGGATCGAGTTGTCCAAGGATGATGACGATGGAGGCTCAAGAACTTTGTTAGTGGAGATGGCGAACATGCCAGAAACTACCATTTGCCAAGCTTTAAGTACGTCAAGGCACTGTGATCTAGTTGATGTGGCTGAGGCTTCGGACCTAGATGAGAAGCCTGGATTATTATTTTGTGTTGACAGTAGTTTTTTTGACTCTCTGACCAGCCTTGTTTCTGCTTCGAGCCGAGCCCTCTCCCACTGAGCCATGTGGCTCAGTGTGCCAGTGTTTCTACCGGAGGAGCTGAGGAGGTTCGATTTGGGCTTGTGGGTGGTGGGATCAATTCCCATCTTGGTAAACCTTTTCTTAATATGCGTGTTCCAGTAGTTTTTAATCTCATTGTCGGTTCGCTTGGGTAAGTGAGCTGCTATGGCCGACCACCTAACAAAGAGGAAAGAATTGAATGCATGCATGCACTAACAAAGGTGACTAGTAGTACTAATAATTATATATCTTGGGACTGAAGATCTTGGGATTGAAGAGGTAGAAAAACAGCTATGGAATAAGCAGTACTAGAGGAAAGCTTGAAATGCCCCAAGATCATATAAACCCAGAGATCAGTAAAGTATATAAACTATAATGTACTTGTTTGTTGGGTACTTTTATATTTTTTTCACCTGTTTCCAAGAAAAGCATGGAGTTGAATGATGGTTTGTTCTTCCTGTAAACTGAACTTTCCCCTCTTGACATCAGGTCTTAGGTAATTGATCCACCTCAATCTACAGCTCTTTCCACATCTTTGAAGCCCTGTAATTTACAGTACACCAGCAATGGCAAACATGCAAGCAAAACGAAAATGAAAAATTGAAAAAAAAAAAAAGAAGGCATATTTGCAGAACAAAATTGAAAGATATAATTGAGAATCATCACCAGCTTTTTCGGGCAAGGTACGCCAGTTCCCAAAGCCACGTTCTTCAATATAAGCTAAGAGCTTCTGGTCTTCATCTGGAGTCCATGGCCCTTTCTTCAACCCCATATTCTCGCTGCAAGCAGACCTTGCCATATGTAGCCAGTTATCAGCAAACAGCAAATGAGTCTTTTGATCTTTTTTCTTTTATAAACAAATATATATATTGCCAACAGATCAATATAAAGAAGAAGACTCCGGAGATTGGAGAGGTAACTGTTGGGTGGGGTTCAAGGTGAGAACTGATTCAGCAATATGTCGATCCATGTTGGGATACATTTATTAGTAAGCCTGAGGCTAGGAAAGTGAAATGTCCCAGGGCTTGATGGGACAGTCCTTTTAACTCCCTAACCCCATTGATACGGAAAAAACAGCTCAACATTTTGTCCTTTGCTATTTAAATTCAGAGGATTTATCATTGGATCAAACTAAGAATTATACATGGTTTCCTGATTAACGAAAATGGCTACTTCTATTCACTTCAACGTGTTACATGTTTGGTGGTTAGTAAGGATATAATTTCACCTATAATTATTTTTACTATAATTTTATAATTATCTAATTATAATCAAGAATTGTATAGAAATCCATTAATATAAATGTGTGTTCTATATAAAATCTTAATAAATTTTATATAAATTTAAATTATGATTAATTAATTAGAATATAATAATTATAAGTGACATATTTACCGATAATTCAATGGCTGATTCCTCACTCAATTTACCCATATGGACCCCTTAGACCCAAAATTAGTTAAATGGTCCTGGTTTGCAGTTTCATGTCAGCAATTATTGTTTCTGTTGTGTCGAAACTATTTTGTGCTAGTTTTCTGGTGGATTATAAATGAGGCAATAGAAAATTTGAGTACTATAACTATACAAACGAATTGTAAAAAGAACAAACTACTTCAATTTAAAAATGTTCGGTTAACATTTCTTTATTTTTGCAATTACTTGTTAATAAACTCACAAGAGATATAAAAGCAATGGGTTGTGTTTCAAAGCTTAAATAAAAACAAGGTAGTGTGGTTAAAATCGGAAAAAGTAAATAAAGTTTCATAAGTGAAGTTCGTGAAATTTTTTATTAAAAATGAATAAATTAAATTTAAAATCGAAAATTGATATGTTAAAAGATTTTATTATATAGATTAGATGTGTAAAAATTAAATTTTTTTTAATAATTTTAGATATATTTATTAAATATATATTTTTAATAAAAATATTGATAAAATTATTGAATATGTGTTGATGAAATTTGAATTATAAATAATTTTTAAATAATTTTTTTACATATTATTTATTTTTATATTAAATTCTATCGATTTATAAGTTATTAAAATTTTTATTTATTAATTTTTAATAAATAATTTCACGAATTTTAGCTGTAAAACTAACTTCATATAAATTTTGTCCGGTTAAAATCTGGGTTTGGATCACTTAAATTCACTTAAAACGCTATCTCCCTTTACCTATTAATTAAAAACCTTTACTTTGAAAAAAGCTTTATTAATTTCTATTGTACCCTAGCTAGACCTGGGTATGTTTCTAACTTTAAGAAGATTTACGCCTCGAAACAAGAGATGCAATAGTCTTGCAAGTGATTTTTCTTGGGAACAAGAGAATAGTTGTGATCGAAGGAATTTATTTATCTATTTATATATTTTTGTGTATCCAATCCATCTTTAATTATAAGCTTCAACTCTCTAGTCTTAAACTTATAGTGCAATTTGCCTTCAATTTCTTTGAAACACCTATTTGAAGGCCATATATTCATCCTCTGGCCAATATCAACAACCATTCCCAAGTGTATAAATATATATATATATATATATATATATTAGCTTTATCATTGATTAATAAAATTTTTGTTTGGATTTTTGGAAAATGTCGATATTTTGGTTGAGTAATAAGAGATTCTTGGACTTTGCTGCATATATATTTTAAGCATAATTAATCCATCACCAAAACTTTTGTTTTGATTTGAAAATACACACGATCCCTCACTATCAAATTAAATATTAAAAAAACCAAAAAATAAAATTATTATAAGTGAAACTGTGCAAGCAGTAATTCCTTTTATTAATTAATAGATCAGTTCTTATTATTAATTTCTAAGTACAACAATTTTGGCCCCCTCTAGATCATGGATTTTCTCACCAAATTAAGAACGCACTGCCATCGGCAAAAACAAGTGTGCCCTGTAGGGAGGCATGCACGACTAAATTTAATTGTCTATATCATTAACTATCACAACCACCAAGTACCTCAATTACTTAAAAGGTTTAGTCAGATTCTATTCTATCACTCTGGGTAAAATAATTAAAGTGGTCCATGTCAATTGTCGAAGTTTTGTTATCCTCCAAGTTTTAGCGACGCCGGCAGCCGGAAACCTCCAGCCTTGCAGTCCGGCTGCCGGTTTTTCTCTCAGCTTTGTTTTAGATCTTTGTGAACGGTGTTATTACATATCAAACACCATATATCGGTTAATTGATAGAGATCAATAGTTTTTTTTTCAATGCATTAACATCCTCCTTTTTAATTCTAATTATTGGCACGGGCGGTTAGACGGATAAAAAAATTAGATCGAGATATAATCAAATATTCATGATTAATCACTGACATCTTTTTTTTTAATTTTTTATAATTATATAAAAATTAGATTAAAAAATAGATTCAACATCAATGAAACGTGGGTTCAAGCTCCAGTTAAATTGCTAATAGGTGGAAGAAGGGTAAATTTGTGTGGACAAAATCAAATCAGACTAGCAGCTGATTTAAGTCTAAGATTTTAGGATATAGGATAAGATAATATTATGATTAATATTAGATTAAATAATATCATATTATCTTGTATTTGATACATGTAAATATTATGATAGGATAATTTATTTATTGGTTAAAATTATCATTTTTTAAAATTTATAAAATTTAAATTACTGATATAATTTTTAAGAGTATAATAGAACATATAAGTTTAATTTCACGAATTAAAAATAATTCTTTTTAATTTGAGAGCATTGAATCATTCTATGTCAAGGATAATTAATTCTTCTTATAATCTTATATTTTTTTTAGATACAAATCTAATATAATATAAAATAATTATTTTCCTATCTTATATGTGTCTTATGTATAAAATACGACCTAAGCTATATATATAACAGAACTCAATGCAAAGAATAAAGATACGTACGTCAAGTAGTTTGCATGTAAACACAGCTACGGTTACAAGGACTACTCACTGTTAACGCTTCCAAATTAATATATAGTGTCATGCATGCCATGGCCATTAATTTCTCATTGTTGGCCACCACTTCAACCGCGACTAAACCTTGAAAGCTAGGAGTAATGATAACTATATATAGATTTGGTTTCGTGAGAATCATCACAGAAGTTTCAAGGTTTTGATTCATAATTACGACCATTAGCACTAAAGACATTCTGCAACAAACACATTTGCATCCCATGTTCTTCCTCTAGCTTGGATAGGATTAGGAAAGCTTAAGTTAGGCATTAAAAGGTTAAAATCTTTCCCCCAAAACGGTTTGGTTTCTGCAAAATCATTATCCTCCCCTATTGTTCCTTGTTTGACTGACAGGGTTGGACCAAAACGAAAATTAAATGGTTTGAGGATGAATGCTTTTAAATTGTACACTGCGAAACATTGGTTGTCATTTTCTAGCACCTCTTGACTTGTCAAGCTGGATATACTGGTTGATTGGCCAAGCCTCAACCTAAAACGGCAGGAGAAATCCTCCGCAGTCTTTTCCTTTTGAGACCTGATCAACAACCATCTTTCAGTCACAGTAATGAAGGCATAAATATCAACAGTGTTTAGGCCAAAGCCCAACAAAAAATATGTAGGTGGACGTTTGGATGCAACTGCACCTCCAGTGAAATATAATTAAGTTTTAATCATCATCATTTAAATTTAAATGTCAATTTTAATGAGACTTATTCATAATAATTTTTTTATTAAAATTTTTTTAATAATAAGTACAATAACTTTTTTTAATCATAATTACAATAATTTTTATTATTATTTTTAATATCATCATCCATTTAAATAGATTATATTTAAAAAAAGATTTCGTACTATAACTTTTTTGAATTAAACTCGTGAAGTTTTAACTTTTTTGTAAAAAGAATACATGTTAAAATATATTTTTTAAAATATATATTTTGGATTATAGAAATAGAGGTAAAATGTTTTACATCTCATAAATTTGATCTTATCTTGGAATTGAATTGAAACTAACAAATATTAGATTTTCAAGAAAACCCAACATAATTCGCAACAAGGACAAATAGTAACCACCTTAATCACTTTGGTGTTTTACAGATCAGTCATACATAGGGCCAGCAGGAACATTTGGTGGCCCAGACCAGATGGTAGCTAGCTAGCTAGCCATGTCTGTCCCTACACATACTCTAACAACATTCCATTGTACACTGCTTGAGATTAGAGATTTAAGAGAAAATAATGATGCTGCAATTAGTATATAGTGGAAGAAAACTATGAAAAACAAGAAACTTTTCATTGTTACAAAAAAATGAATATACCACAGCATAACCTTAATTATTATTGTTAAGACATTATCAAAACACAGGCGAGCCATATGGTGAAGAATTCACTAAGTTAAGTACACTATCCCAGCGAATACTATTCTCCACTATGATACCACTGCAGCCTTCGGTTGCTTTCTCGACACCCATCGATGCATTCAGAACACCAGAATCAAAACCCTCCATTATATTTGTAATAGGTGCATTTTCACAATTTCCTACCTTAAATGAGTCCTCAAACCATGCATCAATGTCGCTGGAATCCGTCATGCCATTCAATTCGATGTTGCTATCTATTATTCTTTCTTCAAGTTCTTGCATCTGATTTGGTTTCTCAAAGCATTTCAAACTATTTTGGCCGTTTAATTCCGCAGCTGTTTCTTCCCATCCGGCTGAACCATCTTTATAGGTATTTCCAGTGAGTCCAATGGCAGGGGCTTGAACCGTTCCGTCCGGAAAACTAAGAGTTGAGGTTGGGGACCCAAGATCCTGGCTGGAGAAGGCAAACATGCCAGCAACTACACCTTGCCATGCTTTGAGTACGTCGAGGCACCTTGGTCTGATCCGCTGACTCGAAGTGGGGGTAACCTGGTATTTAGGTTCGATAGCGTTTGGATTTGGCACAACCTGTTTTGACTCACGGACCAACCTGGCTTCAGCCTCAAGCCGAGCACTCTCCCACTGAGCCATGTGGCTTAAATTTGAAGCATTCTTGCCTGGACCAGATGGGAATCTTGAAGCATCTGTCCAACGCTTGTGAGTCATAGGATCAATACCCATTTTGATTAGCCTTTTCTTGAGATGTGTGTTCCAATGATTCTTGATCTCATTGTCTGTTCTCTTTGGCAAGTGAGCTGCCATTACCGACCACCTAAATGAAATTTAGATACAAATAAAACGTTAATCCTATTATGAACTTGAAAGTGGGAAGTTCATTTTTTTTTCTTTATATGGTACGCTGGAAAGACAGAAAGTTCTCAAAGGGGAAATTTTGAGAAACCATACCTGTTTCCAAGTAGGGCATGGAGTTGAATAATGGTCTGCTCTTCCTGTAAACTAAACTTTCCTCTTTTGATATCAGGTCTCAGGTAGTTAATCCACCTCAGTCGACAGCTCTTACCACATCGTTGAAGTCCTATACATAAATTTACAGAATACCAAAAACATGAAATTTTTTCTTCAATCAATTTCGTTAATTACAACAACAAAAGAAGACAGTTAATTATATATAAATGTAAAGAATCAATCACCAGCTTTCTCAGGCAAGGCACGCCAGCTACCAAGACCATGTTTTTGGATGCAAGCCGTCAGTATTTTGTCTTCTTCAGCTGTCCACGGTCCTCTCTTCAATACCCCTTTCTTGCAATCCGAAGACCGCCCCATTTTGCAGAAAACCTAACCGGCTAATTTGGGCTAAGAAAAAAGTTTAGCCTGTTGATTATTCCAAGAGATTGATTGAGAAAAAAGAATAAGAAAAGAGGACAAATGGGGTTGAGAGTGATGGGTAAATGGAAAGCGTTGGAGGTAATTTTATAGACGATGACCAACAGTAATTAATAAAAACTCATGGAGAAGTACTATATAAATTAGTCCCATCCAACTACTTGATGAATGATGCCCCACGTGAAATAAAAATTTTATATTTTCATTTTTGTAGAAAAAGTTGGAATTTTAAATTAGAGTTTTGAAATAAAAATTGTACAAAAAAATTTGATAGTCTATAATTAAATTTAATGAAAATTAAACTAATAAAAACATATTAATTATTACAAATAATTTAATTTAATATAGCATGTTTTGAAAATGTTGTGATTGTTTATTGAGGATTTAAGTCTTATACAAGCTTTAAATGTGATTGAAATTACTATATAGGTAATAAGTTTTCATCTCATAGTTTTTCATCTCGAATTTTGTTGCCCTTTATATGGTTAAGTTGAATTTATGATTACTTATTAAATATGGCCATATCTAAGAAATTGTTATAATAATTAATTATATGAAAGAGAATTTTTTATCTAAAAATTTTATTTGATAGATAAATACAATACAAGCACTTTATTGTCAATTGGCTTTTTAATCAGATGACATGATATTGAAATTAATATTAAAAGCTACAAATTTGAAAAAAATATTTAAATAATATTTTTTTAATCAAATAAGTATAAGAACTAAGCAATTCAAAAATAAATTAAAATTTTCAAAATATATTACATTAAATTGTTATGTATCAAATTGAATATTTTATTATAATATTTATATCAAAGGAAAAAGGATAGATAAAATATTTTATCTGTATTCATAAATAATTAAAATTACACAAAAATATAATAGAAAAGTAAAATTGCATAAAAAATATAGATTGATATATATATAAATATATCTCAATCTAATATAATAATAAATTCGAACATTTTTCTTATATCAAATTACTAGTTAGCTCTTATGAGAATCGGATCAAATATATAATTAAAAATAAGGAGGAAAGATTTTAGTGCTCGAGTCTAATAAGTTAGCTTAAATAATTAAAAACATGAAAGAAGGAAAAAAAAGTATTTTAAAGATTGTATAATCTATTAATAAATATCAAACTTTTAATTTCAATAATTAATATTCAACTTATGATAATCTCAAATTAATAATAAAATATGATGATAATTATTTTATATTATATTAAATTTATAATTTAAAAAAATAAATAAGATTATAAGAAGGATTAACATCATCTTGATATAGGATGATTTAATCCTCACAAATTGGAAAGAATTATTGTTAATTTTTAGGATTGAACTTATATATCTTATTATACACTTAAAAATTATATCAATGATTTAAATTATATAAATTTTGAGAAAAGATAATTTTGATCAATAAATAAATTATTTTATCATAATCCTTGCACATATCACGTACAAGATATGATAATATTATTTAATTTAATCATATTCATAATATTATTTTATCTTATCTTATATATATCATAATTTTATATATCAACCACATTTACATAAATATGTATTTATTTTTTGTTACAAGAATGGGTCCTAAACACATTAATATTACAGACCATACACTAGATTAAAGATGAGCTAACGTAGTAGTTTTCAATTTAATGGCATACAAATTAATTCAAGATAAGTAGAGTTTTTTAAGTATTAATAATTTTCGATAGAGTTATATTCCACCTGAAAATTTGTCCCCGCCCCCCAACCCAATTTATAATTTTGATGGGACCACTGCCTGAACTGTAATAAATCACTTACCTTCGCTTATATAATCCAAAAATATTTATGTGAATTTTGAAATACAAATAATATATTTTTTATAATTAAAAAAATATAAAGGTAATATCGTTTACTTTGTAAAAAATAACATTTAAGATTTTTTTTTCAAGTAATTTATAAAAAGAATACGTAACGAAAAACTATCCCCACATCTTAGAAATATAATTCCAAATATTTTAAAATTTAAATTTTAATTCAATTGATTTTGTAATATTTTTAAAATGTGACATTTGACTTGAAATTTAAATTTAAATTGCATTTTTTTGTAAAAAAAAAAAAAAGGGAACTCCTCAACGGCCCTCACATAATAAAGAAAAATATACCCTTCTCTTACCTAAAACTTGTGTAATGAAGTAAAAAACTAAGATGATAAAAAATAAAGTTACTAGAAGAGATTAGTCAAATGACTTTACCTCAGTTAATTTCCTTAAATTTTCTGTCCAAATCTTAGTTTCCTAAGACTTGAATTGCAAAGTGCAAACCTCTCACTTGAATGAGATGTTTCTTAGCCATTGAACAAATTAATTAAGATTCCTAAGATTTAAAAAATATATATGGTCGATTTATATTCATGAGCTATAAAACTTTTAATGTTTACAACAAAATAGTGGATCATGAAACAAATGTGGAAAATAAAAAAGAAAATTAGATTTGGGAAGAACTTAAATGAAGTTCAGATTATGAAGTTTTTTATTAAAAATAATTAAATAAAAGTTAAAATTGAAAATTTAAACAGATGGTTTGAAAGGTCTTTATATATAAATCAATTATGCAAATTTTAAAAAAATTTATATATTTTTGGATAAGTATTTTTACTTAAAAAATGTAACATAATTTTTATTATTAAACTAATATTAATCACATTTGAATTATAAATAATATTTTTAATAATATTATTTACATATTATTGATTCTCATTTATCAATATATGAATTTAAAATTTTTATTAACATTTTTAATAAATTATTTTTACTAAAAATTTTTCATAAATTTCATTTACCACTTACCCCAGAGATGAAATGAAGGAGAATGAGTGTTTAAAGTGAAGAAAGTAATTATTTATAGCTTGGCAGGACACAATTTCTATAACCATTAAATTCCCCATTTAAGAAGTGGTGGAGGTATCTGTAACCTTTATTAAGAGGGCATGTGTTTTGCTCTAATTCTGTATCAGGATTATCTAAAAATATGTTATAATATATATGTAAAGATTCAAATATAAATTTATAAAATATTTTTATAAGATAAAATTATAAGATTTTCAGTTAAAATGAATAATATCTCACAGATTAAATGTAGATCTTTATAAATAATATCAGAACAATCATCAGTCAAATGAGAATTAAATACTACATCGTGAGAGCTACTTTTAGAATCATATAAAAATTAAGTGTTACACTATAAAAGTTATCTCTAGAATTTCAATATCTGATGTGATCTTGTGATTTATATGTGTTTTGTGTTAGATTTGCTCAACATTTAATGTAATTTAATAAGATCTATGTGTTTTATATTGAGTTTAACAAAAACATCAAATTTTAATGAAAAAAATTTATGATATTTCAATTTAATATTAAGATAATTTGAAGATCTATTATAATATATACAGAGAGATATAAATTTAAATTTACAAAAAAAATTTATGTGATAAAAACATAAATTTTTCGAATAAAAATAGATAATATCCGGATCTTCACAGCCTGTATATAGGTCATCTTTCTTAGTCGAATTTAGTTCCCTTAGTACTTATATTTATTGGCCAATGGTCAGATCCTTCCCTCTGCCTCACTACATATAAAAATATACTGTAAAAACAGTGAATCACACTGTAAAACATAGGATTCCGTAAACTCTCAAATTTCCCCCTTTTTCCCCACGTCTGTCATGTCTACAGGTAAATTGGGATTGTCCCCCCACTTTTTCTTCACCCCTCTTAAATGGCCTGCATGGTAAAGGCCTCAATTCAGTCACCAGCAGCAACTGTAATTTTATGGGTCGAACATGTAATGTAAAATAGTGGATGCTATGTCAATGGATTAATTGAGTTGATAAGGTTCAAAATTTTCTTTTGTAAAATATAAGTTCGAATCTTGTTATCAACATTTTTTTTAATAAATAATTTATAAATTTAATATAAATTTTTTATAAAATCTGCGATCTACTTTGATCCTATAAAAAAAATCCCCTTACTCTAAAATTTTTTGAAAAAAAAAATATTGGGTGCAGTAAATGTAAATGCATGGTGATTGTTGTGTGAGTAAAAAGTGAAAAACAGTGAATAGTCATGAACAGAGTTTTTCCTTAGTTGCAGCATCGCAGGCAACAGCTACCTTTTATGACTTTTTGTCACTGATTCGTAAGCTTTAAAAAGGGCAGTGTCCTATAGTTAACACGACTGTGAAGAAAAACAAAAACAGAAGGATGATTATTACCCAATATGGCTTTGAACGAGCACATTGAATTTTCGTGTACCATTTACAGCGAGACTCCAATTTTGAGTCATTTCCTTTCATTTCCAGTGATAAATGTTGTATGAAAGAGGAAGGAAATAGAAGAGAAAAAGAAAACAACAAAAAGAAGCAAATTTCATCTCATTATTATTACTAGTATTATCATTTTTGCTCCTTAAATTTTTTTTTTTTAAATGATGGAAAGGTAAAAACCAAATTGAATATCTATCTATATAGTTTTCTATTTTATGATGTTTAGAAACCAGTCTTTGCTTTGGACATTTAAATACAATTTTATATTCAAAATTAATTTCTGTAAATGTTTGAAGAGAAGTAATTCTACATTCATAGCTCGAGAAAATATAAAAATATATCTTCTATAATTATTATAGTATAATTAATTAATTATAATTTCAAAATTGTGAAAATTATATCAAAATTTTATATGTAATCTATACTTATAAGTGATAAATTCTTACATAATTTTTTATTAAGATCAGTTAATTATAAGACTAATAAAATTTTTTATTAAAATTGGTTAATTGTAAGATTATAATAAAAAAAATTATAAGTGAAATATATCCAAAAAAGATTATATAAAGGTCATGAGGATATTTACTAATTAATGAGATAATTTCATCATAATTATGTCGATAAATGTAGTAATCATATTGTAATCTTAAATACTATTCTAATTATAATATTATAATTTTTAATATTACATTTGATTACATAATTACATTAACTGTATTTTTTTTATTTAGTTTTGGGATTAAAAAAATTAAAATATAGAATTGCAACACATGAATTCCAAATGATTTTTATCGATTAATCATGTTCATGGTAAGACAGATCCTAGTGATAGATTGAATTGGATGCTTCTCATGCTAATGAATCACCGCTAGAGCACTATGAAATTATGGATTTTTCTTTATACAAAAAACGATGACTTTTTTTTTTCAATGATATTAATGATATTTATTTCTCAAAATCAATTAATTAGTAAGTGATGTTTCTTCCTTCTTTATCTTTCCAGCCAATTGAATGAATGAAGAGCACTGCTTCTACCCATTACTAAGCCACCATCTCTCCAGTGACTCTCCTCCTACGGTAAAGGTAATTAAGTTTATATTAGTTTCCTTTACAATTTCACCTTTTTCTTGGAGGCTGTGGGGCTTCAAGTACATCTAATTAAAGCAAGGTCTTTCTTTGTCTTTTTTTTTGAAAAAATATTTTGAATTATTTTTTAACAAAATTCAAGATATATAAATTATTTAATCTTCAAATCAAGAGATACCATATCCAATAATTTTAAAACAATAATTGAAAGTCATATATTTAAAATAATTTTAATAAAAAATTATCAATTAAATTTAAATTCAAAATTTTTACATTAAGACGAACGATTCTTACTAATTAAATTAAACCTTTGTCGGTAATATTTTGAACTATTAGTAGTAACAAATAGGTTCTGATTTTCTTATTCAACTTTTTTTCCTTTCTTTTTTAGACAATGGAAAACACAGAAAATTCACATTGACGTAATAAATAGTAGTAGTACAATTGTACATGTAAGAACAGTATCTTTTTCCAACCTTCAATAACTGTGGACGAATCAATGTCAATTATGAGCTCTCAAGTTGTCTCTCACTTGTGAGAATGGGAGAATTGTAGCATCCCCAGAATTCCCTTCACCCCAAATTTCTCTGCCATGTAGAAATTAATATATATATATATATATATATATATATTCTACGTATTTTAGCATTGCATCAAAAGATCATCAAATTATAAATCCTCCATTATGTTTGCAATTTGCAAATTATCATTCCCGACCGGAAAAGGGTCATCATTAAACAATGCACTATCTGTGAATATAATGGAGTTATCAATTTTTTCCTCATGTTGTGGCATTTGTTTGGATTTCTCAAACCATTTCCAATCATTATAGCGTATAGTTCCTCCGTTGCACTTATCTGATGAACTCGTATCAAGCCCCATTGCATTAGCTGTATTTCCACCAAGTGATCCTGCGGCTGGAGCTCGAAACATGTCATGGGAGAAGTTGAGTGTTGAGGTTGGAGAGCCAAGATCCTGGCTGGGGAAAGCAAACATGCCAGTAACTACGACTTGCATTGCTTTGAGTACATCGAGACACCTTGGTCTTGCTGATAGTGAAGCCGAACCTTTGTTAATTAGCTGCTTCTGGGGTCGGGTATATGTTGTTTGACCGTTAGATTTCTAAAGATTCAATCCAAAAAGGACATGACGGCATGATGAAATCCCTTCTCATTGACCATCTAAATAAAGTCTAAATTAACTTATTGGCTAAAATTCTTGCCTCAAGAACCTAGCATCAGATTTAAATTCAGCCGATCAATCTCCAATATCCACCACCATATGAGATAGTAATCTATTTGTACATACCAACTGAAAAACCGGTTTATTTTTTTATAGTCTTACTAATATGAAAGGGTGACATATTAACATTGTGGTAATGATAGTAGCTCAAACAAGTAAAAGCTGTATGTCTAAGTTTTACATTAGTATTGATTCCTGAGTCAGTTGGATTTATCCCCCAACAAGGAAATGGGTCATTTCTACGATCAAGCAATGCTGGAAAACCTGATATATGACTATAAGTCTATCAACCATCCACTGCTATAAGATGTACTGGAATTTCAAAGGAGAGAATGAAGGCACATGGCCAATTTGTCATTTATGAGTAATTGTAAACACAGATTGTACAAGATACAGTCGACATATAACTGGAACTTGAATTTGCTATTGGTTCGTTTTTTCAACACAGCTACCAATAGGTTCATTTAAGTGCTACAACAATACATGTCCGACCTCGCCTGCCACCATAAAAATGGTTTCAGTTGGGGCATAACTGGGACTTTCACATCTTCAATGTTTCAGACCATTCAAAAGGACAGCTCAGAACCTCAAGCGCCAGTTGACAGGCAAAGAAAGAAAAGACAAAAAATAAGGAAAAAAAGTTGGGGTTATAATTATACAAGTAAATATATACCTACTGGTATGACTGTCTAGTCCTTAAGTTCATTTTTTAAAGCTTAATGTGCTTAATTGAAGTGGGCTGTTTTGATGATCAGGTGGGCAATTTTTAGATCTAAAACTGATAAAACCTCGTCTTGTGTGCGTGTCTGTCCTGGTGAGCAACAAAACATGGGCTACTGTCTAACAGTATCGGCAAATGTCTCTGATTTTGTAAAATTTACGAAGTTGCAAGTCAATCGACTTGGCATGCAGTGGCACTTCTCTGTGCTGTAACTTCGTCTCGCAAAATTAACATAAAGATGAAATTCCACTTTTCACATACCAACTTCCAAGTCGATCAAAATTAAATTGTTAGTCCTTAACGAGTTAAATTTTTTATATTTAAATTATACAAACTAAATTTTAATCATTAAAATTAAAAATTTAACATTTATTAGCACGTCATATGACTAGTGATACGATGAGTTAATTTCCCCTTGAGTCATAAGTGACATACAGCAGGCATCAATGGTGACAAGTGACACATGATAAACAATAACTTCATCGTTCCACTAATGACTCCCAATGATCCTTAAAGGCTGGAACAGATCAACCGTATACGTACACGCAAGTGAATAGCAAAAATACACAAGAATGGGGCAATAATCATAGCAGTCCCTTTGAACAATTACTACCTACCAAGAAATTTTTACTGGAGAAAAACTATAGTGCTAGATAATACTAGCATACTGCTACGTACTGTGATATGATTTACTTACTATAGCCCTCAATGTTTTTGTGTTTTTTCCACAGATTCCCGATGGACAACTTTCGTGTCACTGCCTGCCTTGATGGTTGTAGCTGCTGTTATTTTAGGCCATGAGAGTACTGATATTGTATGTTAGTCATTAAGACAATATAATAGAAGTACCTTCCATTACATTAATGGACCTTATGATCCTTAAAGTCTTGAATACATTGATCGACCATACAAATTTTAAGCATGCGCTATTTCGAAATTCTTGTGCTTTTTCTTTTTGCTATAATTATTATCAAATTAGCTTATCGTAAACCTTTAATTAATAGATCATATATAATCTCCTCTTGAAATAAAAATAATATCACAATATTAATTAAATATCTCAAATATCTTTTGATCGATCTTACAATTTAACTCAATCGATTCATGTAACTTTTTTTAACCAAACCTAAAATCTGTTTCTCGACCCATACAACCCATTTTCTATACTGACCTCCTTTATATTAAAAAAAAAAAAAACCATATATCTTTTAATCCATGTTGAATAGGGATGTTTTAAATTAGAAACATGCATGTCAAAAGTTTTAGTTTGTACATGCATGATATTTTCTTCTTAACAGAGAGAAAGTGGGAATTTCACTGAATTGAAGATGAAATACATAATTAAGGATCTACATTAACCTTATAAAAACCAAGCAACAGATCAACGCCAAAATAGGTAACAGGCACTACAGAAAGCCTAATACGCAACCCCTAAACTTAATTCAAACTGGTTCTGATCTTTGACAGGTCCTAAATAATATATCTATAAAAATAAAGGATGATAAAAAATTGAGAAAGTCAGAAAAGAAAAAGGAGAAATGCGTAAAACTATAAAAAGGAAAATTATGGATAGAAAATGCATTAAGCAGAAAGAAGACAGAAAAGCCCAATTGAAGGAAGAAGAAAGAACAGCCCAATTGAAGGAAAAAAGTCATAAAGCAACAAATAATGGGCTACTACTGCTATTGAACAGTCTGTTTGTGAGAGAAAAACAGTCCCTTAAAAATAAAAAAAAATTGAAAAAAAAAAAAACCACTGCCCCAGTAACAGTGAAATGGATCCCTTCTTTAATATATGGTAATAGAGTCATTAGATTTGAGAAACGAAACCCCATTCCCTCAAGGGCCAAGGCCTCAAACCCCAAGACGCCCCATTGCCACCATTCGCAGCTGCACATCACAACAGGGTCAACCATATAGGGGAAAATGCCATAAAAACCCACATAGGAAGCTGACCCTCAAAGTAGAAATGCATTGCATAATTGGTGAGTATGACACTACAAATCAGGCGTGAATGTATTTAGCAATAAGCAGATTTCTGTAAATATTGGGTTTTATAAAGGTCAGTGCTTACTTGCTAACAAATAATGCTCAAAAAGTTTGAATTCCATAATGGTAACTGCCTGCTAGCTTATTAGATAACTAAAAGGAAAAAGCCTCGAGAAAATTGAACCAATAACTAATAGATTTACTCTGTTACACCTTTATGATCTTTTCCCGTGCTAAAAAATTGAATGACATTGACACTAAATGATGGTTACTTCTAAGGGGCATCAGGGTTTTATGATCTCTGACCAATGCCGATATTCAAGTAATTGCCAAAGGGAGAAACTGGTACTAGCATCTGAAATTTTCCCATTCACATTGGTATATGCAAACTGAATTTAACCATGCAAGTGTACTGGCATCGGAATCCTCATAAGCTCATTGTTCAGAAGGAAGAAAGCCCTGCAATTTTTCGGAATTTCTCATACGAGACCCAGAAAACGAATTGCCAAGGTCCAAGCCTTGCCCATGTTGGAAAGAAACCTTTCCACAGTGCTGTCAATCCTTCAACTTTCACCGTCTTCACCAAACAATCATACGAGTTCTTGTACAACACATTTCCTTCCTTACCGACTGCTTGATTCATCATTCTCGTCTTCACAAAATCAGCCGGACAACTCAGCATTGTGGCAGAGAGACCTGACATGATCGATGCCAATGTGTGGGCATAGATGTTATCATCAGATATCTGATTATTGATAACAAAACGTTTTGCATGATCATAACAAGCCAGTTCCCCCATATTCACTAAAAACGCTCTCTGGACATTTGGGAAAACTCCTTTCCAAAGACCTCCAAAACCTTCCATGGTTACAATCTTTTTTAAAGCATCAAATGATCCTTTGTATCTAGGTTGAAGACCCCTGCTTACCAGACGGCCATCGGCTTGCATCCTCACCTTAACAAGATCAGCTGGACTTGCCACAAACTGTACTACTACTAATAGTAAGCAGAAAAATTCTACCAATTACATTCCAAAGGAATATTTAGCATAAACATCTCATCAAATATATATATAGCATATAAGTTTCACTTCAATCAAGAGTATTTGACTATTTTTTACCAACCAAATCTTCTTTTTTTTTTTTTTTGCAATTTCAAGAAAGCCAATCAATTCGTTTATATTTGACTATATTTTGTTTCAGTAAAGACATACCTGAGCAATAACGCCGGAAATGCCACCAACAAAAGCTTTAGAAGACAGAGAAAGAGACCTATCGGAGCTCACGGAATTCCTTAAATTCTCGTAACCCACGATCCGAATGGGAGTGTAGAATAGATGCCTGAGAATGGCTGGAGAGAGGCCTTTATACAGACTCAAAACGCCTTGTTCACGGACAATTTCGGAAGCGACACGGAGCGCGTTAGTGGGGCGCCTGGAGGAGGAGGAGAGCGATTGAGACTCGCCGTGGAGTTGGAGCCTCGTCTTGGTTAAGTCTATCGGGAAGGTGGAAGCCTCCGCCACCATAGCCGATAGTGACGTCAGCAAGATCTTAATTCGGATCCTGTTTCGGGTTTGGGCGTCGTCGGGTCCGGGAACGCTTTTCATTGGACCATCCGAGAGATCAAGTTTGAGCGGCGCGTCGAAGAGAAAATAGTAATAATAAAAGTGAAAAAAGAATCATTTTTGAGTTGCAAAACGACGAATGACATGCCGTTTTAATGAGTCTCAAGGACAACACGGTCCAATAAACCCTCCGAAGCTACAACGATTTCCGCGCTGCCGCTAAATCCCTCCTGAATGGCTCCGGCGATCTCTCCGTCGGACACGACTTAGTCTCTCACGTTCACACCCTCTGCAAACAGGGCCTCCACCCTCTCGCACGCGACTACTTCCTTAGATCACTTGAGGTTATAATCAATTAAGCCATTGAAATCTCTTTCAATATCCATTTTCTTAATTTCGTTATTTGTTGGGTAACATAGGAAGCTTTTGAGAAAAATGAAGCGTCGAAATTTTGGCGCCATTTTGAGGATTATAGCAAAATTGAAGAAAGATTTAGTTGCCTATGCTTCAGCCATCTTCACTGAAGATGCTTAGAGATTATTTTACATCCATCACTGAGCATAGTGAGTAGACATAAACTAAATATGATAACACTGACATTAAAACGATACAAACGAAAAAAACATAAATAATACGGTTAAAAATTTGTAGAAAAATTCATAAGTAAATTTTAACAAAATAAATATATATATTTTATATTTTCCTTTCCACATGAATTATATTTTTCGTAAAAAATATAATATAAATATACATATTATTAATATTTTACAAGAATATATGAATTGTTAGATATAGATGAGAAGACTAAAAACTAGTGTTTAAAGAAATGATTCAGTTATTATTAATGTAAACGTTTATTAGTTCTTTGACTCCCAATCGAAGCAAATTTGTTGTAATGTAAATGGTCTGTATATGCAGATCTTTTGTGACATAACAGCTGTCTTTTTGGGATTTCAGTACCAACAGCTGTTCCTTAAAACACATTTGATTCTTTCTTCTGAATGATATCGCATTTCATTTCCAATGCAAGTTCATTGTCAGAACTTAAAGCACAGTAAGAACCTCAAACGACCAATCAATTATTCACATTGTTACTGAACCATAAGGTTCATATGTACCGTTCCCATGTGTAACAATCTTCATTCATGGGTATTTTTCTCATCATAATTTAATCCAGGTCCAGGAGGAACCCATCCCATGTTGTTGCCTTGGCATTGACGATTCTCCTCCTTTTTTATATACCAAAATAGGATAAGAGACCAGACCAATGACAAAGACTAACGTGACAGTTACATACCCCCCCCCCTCCAATTTAAAACCAACAAGCCAAATACATTAACCAAATAAGTTGAACCGACATGTCATACCCATAGTTAAATCACAAGGATTATCACCAGTCATCAGATATACCCGACTATTTATTGGCTAAAATACTGCTAATTGGTTTCGGACCCCATGGTTTTTTCGCATGTTAAAAAGGTTAAAAAGATCATTGTACCCAAGAAGCTCTCATATGCCGGACATACGAACCAGCTTATTGTAAAGAATGTGATCATCCCTTCCTGTGTTACTCTCTAACAAAGCACTTTGCACAAGTTCCTGATGCGGGAAAGCAAAACCATCATTAACCATAGTGCAATAGTAACAGAAAAAAGCATAATTACGACAGAAACAACCACAAAAACCAAAGGATCATGAATCCTACTTTAACATCCTTATGAGAGAGAAACTTCCCCAAATTGTGAATAATCAACCGCATATCTTCAACCTGTAGAAAATAATAAGTGATCATTACAACTAGTGTTAGAGAACATACCAAAATGAGTAAAAAGATTTTGATCTCACCCTAATGTAGCCAACTCGATTCCGGTCAAAAAACCTAAAAGCCTATTACAAAGAAGGCTTGCATTAATAAGGGAAGAAACCTGAATTGCATACTCAAACAGGAAAGATCCGAGGCAAAGGAAATGAAAGGTGAATTGGAAAATACCTGCAACAAATCCTTATTGATAGTATGCTCCTTCTTTGGATCAACTTTCAGCTCCCACTTTGCAGACCTATCTCCCTCAGGCCCAGGCTCTGTAGTAGCAGCTTTTGTGGTGATTTCCTCTTTGGAGGATTCCCCTGCTTCATCCTTCTCAGCTTCCTTTTCGGGCTTAGCATCTGTAACTGTCTTCTCTTCTTCATTTTTCTGTCAAAGATGAAGGTACAATCTTTAATAAATAAGGATAAATAACAGCTCTGACCATATGAAAATGAATTCACCAAACCAAACCACCATAAAGAAATCCAGGTGTAAAATAGAAGTCAATCATAATATAAAATAACATAAATATTTAATACTATAGAACCCAGTAACAAAATCTTCTGCATAAAATTATAAGGATGCATCCTGAGGCGCAAAAGTGAAAATAATGTTTGACAAAAACCATTTCAGCTTCCCTGTTCAAAAAGGAGGAAACCCCTACCTCATAAGAGGAATTGGGTTGTGGACCTGCGTCATCCATTGCTTCATATTCATCAGGATCTTCCTCCTGATATTCATCATCTATTTCATCTTTTGTCTTTGACTCCTCAACATGATCAGCAGTGGTTTCTTCCTTGGTCACAATCATTTCATCCTCCCGCTGAGCTTGCCACTTGATGTGTCTGATTTAGTAGATTCATTTTTCACAGGGAGCTCATTGCCTTTCAATCTTTTTGTTGGTGACTTATTCTCAGTTTCCTTCTCACGGATTTCTTCCTGTTGCCTCTTACGCTGATTTCTTTTTGTCATAAATCTTACACGCAGCTTCTACACATTGAAAAGGATGTCACTGACAATTCTTCAGAGAGGGAATCAAGTAAAATAAGCAAGAAGAACATCATATACCAACCTGGAGAAATGTTAAAATATGGCAACCCATTTGATATTGAAGCATTTCATATAGCACCTCTGCAAATAATGAAAGCTGCAAAAATGGAATACACTTGGTGTAAATGAAAAAGTACGAATAAAAACTAAAATTGCTTCAGATATCATGAAGTTAATAAATGAAAATATAGAATGGCAAATATTAAAAACACCAGATATTAAGGCAGAAAGGTAACAAGGAAAAACAAACCTCATATGTTGATTCTTCAATGTCCTTATCAGTATAATCCAAAAGTGAATCCAGAGAAAGTGACAATGAACGCAACTGTGGCATTAGAACGAATAATTAGACAAGTAATAGCGAGGAATATTAGACAATTTATGCATAAAAACACTTTCCTTCACAAAAGTTCAGCCACACATACAACACAGTACTTTAAAGATACGATTAACTTACTTTAGAATCCTTGCTCCACTTTGTTTGTAGAATCAATCCAGGATGCCTCGGAGGAGGCTCTTCAGACTTCCTCTTTTCTTTCAAGTCCTTGTTATGATTGCCTTGGGATTCATCTTTACTGTCTTTGTCCTCTTTCTCATCTTTTGGCTTTTCCCCCTCTTTCGATTTTCCCCCCTTGATGTCATAATTATCGTTCATGTTAATCTTTTGCTTGTCAGCCTTGATTTCTGATTTACTTGAACTTGCAGCATTACCTTGTTTCTCTAAACCTGTTTGCTTACCTATATTTGAGGTCTCACTTCCAGCTTGAACCAACTTTTCTCATCCTTATCACCATCTTTCTCAATTTCAGCTACTTCATCCTTAGCTTGTGTAGTAGGAACCTTTGTTTTAGGCACCCTCGTAATAACTTTCTTCTTTACAGTTGTTTTCACACTGGCATTTTCTACAGCTACAGCACTGGCATCTGAATTATCCTTTGGTTTATCTTCAGGGCACCCCATTTCTATCTCCACTTTTTCCTCAATGGGAACACCATTATCTTCACTCTGATCAGTTTTCCCAACTGCCTCCTTTTTTGTAATTTTTTTCCGTACAAATGTTCCAACCCCAGCACGACCAGCAGAAGATTCTTCCTGTTGACTGGCAACCTCTGATTTGGTATTCTGCTCTCCACCATCTTTGTCAACCTTGTCACTTTGTTTGCTAGCAGTATTCACTTCGGCAGCTGTCTTATTAGCAACTTTCTGTTTGACAATCCTCTTTATAATCTTTTTCTTCACAGACTTCACGGCACCTGTCTTAACAGCAGCTGCTTTTCCACTTTCCTTATTCTCGGGACCTCCTCCCACAGTTATTTCACTGTCATCTTTTACCTCAACTTTAGTTTCACCCCTACTAACCTTTCCTTCAGCTGCATCTCCTTCAAAACAGTTGCTATCTTCCTCCTTTTTGTTAGCAAATATCCCATGACTAGAGAATGCAGACTGACTCATTTTTTCTAATTTGCCTCTTTCCATGTGTTTTGCAGAATCTACTACATTGTCTAGCCAACATAAATGAAAATTTCAAGTAAAGGGAGGAAACTATTATTCTACTTTAATTGATCATGCCCATAGAAAATATGTGAGCAAATGGATAAGATGATGAATTTGTAATAACCAATTCACCTTTTGATCCTTCTTTCCTCTCCTTTGCTTTCTGAAACAAAACAAATTTACCATTAATAAAGTAGGCAACAACTTCACTATTCCTTATTTTATTACAAAAAATTGTCGGGAAAGAAAATAAGAAACTAAAGCCATGTTTGGTGCATAGGATGATAAATAGGATAGCATTCTAATCATCCTATATTCTGTTTGATTTGTATCTAAAGAAAGGAATAGGATTGCAAGGAAGATTAACCATCCTCTTAGCATAGGATGATTCAATCCTCCCAAAGTGGAAAGGATTATTTTTAATTCATGGGATTGAACTTACATGTCCTATTATACCCCTGAAAATTATATCAATAATTTAAATTGTATAAAATTTAAGAAAGGATAATTTTGACCAATAAATAAAATTATTATATCATAATCCTTGCACACATCAAACACAAGATAGGATGACATATTTAATCTAATCCTATTCATAATATCTTCTTATTCTATCCTATCATACCAAACACATCCTAAGGGTCAACATGTATCCATCTTAACCCAAAACAGATATCAAGTTGATTCAATCCTCCAAGCCATTATTTGTCCAAAATCTTTGGAAACTTGACAAAAATTCAGAGATCATAATGACATTCAGGATGCATGACAGGCATTTATGTAAAGCATAATCCAGTAAAGATTTTGGCATTTTGCAACATAGTAATACTTCCAGTTTGTTGTGTATCAATGTGTCTGTTTATTTGTTACAGGTATATGTTCACACTTCATACGAATACAGTATGCATATGCATCTTCTTAATACATCATATAATATATATATATATATATGCATTTCTTCAGACAATAACCTCGAGCACTAGGCAACGTAGAAGAAAAGGCAGGAAAAATAAAATAGAATAATACCTCTCCTTTCAAAGAAAGCAGCTGCTCTCTCTCGAAAACAGCTTTCCTATGAGCTAGCCATTGGGATCGCCATGTATCAAATGAAGGGAGGCATTCCGATAAATCTGGAACAAACAGTACAGTGACTTCTTTATGGCTAAACAGTCCATCCTTGCCAACTCTGTCATAATGTATCTGCAAATAACCAAGAGAGCTCAAAACTAGATTCCTGTCATCAAGAAACATGTCCAAGAAACAAAATCTAAACTTAACATATTGCAAGAAGAAAGATCAATACAACTTCTAAGCTCATCTGATAGAGAATGTGATGAAGTCTTGCCACCCACTAAACTGCCAGGTTGCAACCAGATAAGTTTTACATAATTCTACACTATTCAGTCTACTAAGTTTAGAATATTTCCCTATTTTCCAGCTACCAGTATTACCAGCATATATAGTCGCCAAGATTAAAACATAATAGAACCTAATCAGTATCATTAAGTGCTCATGGCATCTTTGTCTTTCTTTCCTAGAGAAGCTCTATGGAATCAACCTCTTGAGAAAATGGAACATGAAAGCAAGTGATTTCTCCAAATTAATTTCAAGATGAAAACCACCAAAAAAATTAGCCGTCCTCAATGGTCATGAGTGTCTGGTCTACACAATCACCGAAAATAAGAAATAAATAAACCGATAAAAGATTTGATCATGGATGTTGAGAAATAACAATTTAAAAGGGAGTTCAAGTCCAATAGAATCCACATTTTTACAACTAATCCTGAGCAATAGAATCAAAAAGCTTAAATAAAAGAGAAGGATCCTGCAGAATAATTTCGAATAAAAAGATTCAAATATAAAGAAGAAATTTTTATCAGTAGAATTGCAGCTTCTAGGCAATATCAAACAAGGTTTCTAGGAGACAATTGGAACGAATAATAATACCTCAATGAAACGATTCCAATGCTGACAGTTCTGCAAATCAAGACTCACTACATCCTTTGCATACCTGCTCAAGTAAATAACTCCCTAGATGAGAAATGACTAAAGTTATACATAGTATTCTGCTACCAGAAGACAGTACAAACCTAAGGGCTGTTCGAATTAGAGAAGACTCGTCATCAGTTGGGTTACTTCCATCAGCAGAAACCCAAGGCCCGCCAATTGTCATGAAACAATTATCCTTTTTAAGAACAGCAAACCTTAGAATATTGCAAATATGTGGTATACAGTCATCAGGGATATTTTCAGATGACAGCTCTTCCAAAGCACTCTTGCTTAATCCACTCATTAAAACCATCTGAACAAAAGTCAAAAAGTACATTATTCAAGCACAATTAAAATCAACTTTGATATGGAATCTTCAATATTCCTATCAGAGAAAGTGAAAGAGACAAGCAGTAAGAGAGCTTAAATCATGCATGAATTATTACAAATGAATTGTTAAAAGGAAACTTCAAAGTAATACACTGCTTGCTTAAACTACAGCATAGTTCATGCTTCTACAGCTTTTGTCGATTAGTCAAATAAGTCTGAATATGATACAATAAACTTTGACAACAAGACAGAATTTTCTTCCTTTGAAAAATATTAACTTTAACAAAATGCACCGATCTTCTTTTCAGTAATTCAGCATGTTCATATAAGTTTCACAACAAATTAACAAGAAATTCCATTCATAACAAAGTAGGCATTAAAAAATGCTTTAATCAGCAAGAACTCCATTCTACATCATCCATATATTATGTTCTCATGGCTAACAACAAACCCCATAATGCAGAAAAAACAAAATCACCAATTCACATTTGATAAGAACTTGCTTCCCACAAAAAGATAAAAGAAAAAAATAAAAATATTATAGATAAAACTATAGCTTCTGTTTTTGGATGCTACATTTACAAATGACCAACCTTTGCATTCCACACTGTACTTCCTTGTTCAGACTTTTCAGATTCAACAGGCAAAAGCTTGCTGGAAAGTTCTTTTGATTCAGCTAAACTATCTTCTTCAATGAAATCATGCTCAAAGCTGCTTCAGTCAACAGAAACTAAACTATTACAATTTCATAAAGTATAAGATGCAGTATTGTTTAGTTCATTAAAGTAAGTTAGAGAGGGAGAAATGAGGGGGTGGAAATGCAAAGAGAGGTGGACGTTGATTTGGATCCCAAAACTAATGTTTGTCTTGGTGTTTTGCTTTCCCCAGGCAAAAGGCCAAGCTTCATGACAAACAATGCATTAGCAATTTCACATCCTAAAATAAATAATTAATTGATTAAAAAAGTAACAATTCACAGATAAAATATCTAAAACCATGATGCCAAGACCACTTCAGTCTTTAGCCAATAAATATACAACAAACCAAGAAGTTCAGTGCTAGTTGAGATGTCCAAAACCTATTCAAGTAACAAAGACATCCAGGAAGGATACCTGACAGGAGTATGCATAGAGAGCTTAAGGTTCTCCTTTGGCCAGTTTATAACAACCTATAAAAGTTGAAGATGTTAGGTCAAAACAAATATCTAAGAACACAAATTTAACACATCACTGAATTTTGAGACAGAGAGGGAAAGACCTTAGAAAATTCAGGAGATACAAAAAGTCTGGGATATCGCTTATAAATTGACAGATAATCTCTCTCTACATCTACCAAGGTGGATGAATATACCTGCATGTAAGCAGAAAATTATTGAAAGGATTAAAAACATTTTCAAATGACATGCCTATGCAGAAAATACATATCCGTATTATACGAAAAATATATATTGAAAAAGGTCTCCAACTCAGAAAAGTTAAATAAATTCTCTAGAATACAGGTAAATTTTCATCAATCAGAACAACTAGAAGTTGTAATGAACCACCACAGTTTAGAGCAGTCTGCAAATACAAACCCAGGAAGCTCTGAAAGTTTTGAATTAGTCTCCATAAAAGGAATATAGTTTACCCAATGGAGAAAAGGGTGAGAGGATGAGGGCAAAGAAAACATTCAAGGAAATGAGAGGATCAAGGAGCAAAATGAAACCAATCAAAGTAAAATATCAGAAAGGGCGCCCCAAGAAAACAGGATTAAAACAATAAAGTCAAAATAACTGAGCAACGGCTTATACATATGTAGAATTCTCTAGATTGTGGAAAACCCAGCAACTAGCCCTGCAATACTATGAGCCAAAGACCAAGAGGAAGCAACGAAAATTGAAGGACCAAGAAAGAGTGATAACAGGAAGATTTAGGATGCAAATCAGATTCTGAAAGGGAAAAAGCAAATTCTTGAAGAAGTTCAAATTATCTTCAAATGGGAAGCTCTTGCATTGTCCTTTTACCTTGCAGACATATTCTCTCCTTTTTTCTTTAACAGGTGAATGATGCCTTCAGCAATACAGAATACCAAGTTAGTTATTAAGACTGTGAGAAACACAAAGAGCTAAACATTCAGAACTACAGCAGGACGGAATGTAAAACATCAAGATCCACCTATGGGAAACTTCACGACACAGGGAGTCTCGCCTCACAGGTCGAGCCTCTTTTGTCAAAGAGGAACCACGGTGGTCCCTAGAAATTCTTGGTGTTCCTTCACGCATAACTTCAAGTGCACGCTTGCACTCTCGTCCTCTCTTCTTCTCCCGCTCTCTTTCCTTCTCACGTCGCTCCAAGAAGCGCAACCATTCTCGTTCTCGTAGTCGTTCTCGTTCCCGCTCCCTTTCCCTCTCTCTTTCTTTCTCTCTTTCACGCAAATGCTCCCGACAATGCTCCTCCTCTCTCAGCTCGAACTCCTGAAGATAACCGGCCCTGTGATCCTTTCGTTCATCAATCCTAGGATGACCACTGCGTGACAATGTACTACCCGAATATTCAGACTCAAGGGATGTAACATGAAGCCCTTTTGTTCCATAATCTCTACCAGGTGGTAGGCTCACTCCATAACCAGGATTTGCTGAATTAGGTGGATACATGAGATCATCCACGTTTCTCCTTGGAGCTGCCCCTAAAATTGATGGAGGTTGTCCACCATACGAAGAAGAAGAACTAAGCAATGACAAACTGTGGGGTTCAGCATCTATTCTTCCTCCATAAGGCATAAGATCTTGGGTAGAATGACGACTAGAAGCACTCCTTGCTGCAAGATAATCAGCTTGTCTGCCAGAAATGTGTTGCTACTTAGTCTAGCAAGCAATATACTACCATCTAACAAGCAGTCAACAGACTATCACCATGAAGGATGAGAAGGTTGACCTTGGCCATATATTTACAAGGGAAAGACTATAAGTGAAGAACAGTAGCTATTAAACACAACCATCCTCAATTGGAAATTATATATTAAATGTTTCATCAAAATAAAAATACCTTGAACTACCATCAAGAGAGGCTGATTGAGCTTTGACTAATTGCTCTTGTCGAAGCAAGACAGCTTGATCAAGATGATCATATATCTCAGACTGTTGCACAAGATAGTAAGTATTAAAGATCAAAACCAAAAGAGAGAACAAGAAACAAAATTACAAGATGGACAAGGAAGAAGCAGATTTATATTCAGAACATAGGAAAAAGCACGACAAAATGCAAAAGAAGCTAACAGAAGAAATATCATGAAATTGCTAGACCTGATGCTGATGACCAAAAATAGCAGAATCAACATATCTTCCGGTTGGCTCACTAGGCAATTCTCTCCCCAGATAACCACCCTGTCGTTCTCCATATTCTCTTCTCTCCACTGTAGCATAGTCAGGAATCTTCTTTGCATACATTTGATCACCTTTGTGACTATAACTGTGACTTGATGATGAAACATAGTCAGCAGATGCAAATTTTGGTGAATCTGGCATAGCTGAGGTATAAGCACTACGAGCTTCCAAAGCTGATAATCCAGTCCCTTTGGAACTTATTGCAGGAACCTAGTAATAAAAATTCATCAAATCCAAAATTCGATCAATAAAATTCAATACTATTGTCCATTAACACACACTCTGATGCATGTTCATCTAACATTACATACTAATGCCACCTTAAAACCAACTAAAAATATAACATGTAATAACCGTAATGTGAAAAAAGGACATCATGGTTGACTATCAGACAGCTAAGACATATCATAAGCTCCCAAGGAAAAGAAAAACAGCACTCAACAGATGAAACTGACCTGATCCTCAAATATCTATGATAAGGGTTAAATATTAAAGAAGAAATTGAAGATCTACAGCAAGATGAAATAATATACAAATTACCAAAACAAGCACATAGGAAAAGAAACCAACTTCCACTGACCTGATGAGTAGCACTCAAAGCAGTTGTGCCATATATGGAGCTATACGCCCCCCCATAATGAGCTGAAACTGAAGGAAGGGCTCTGTAACCACCAACTTCTGCTTCTTGAGCACTACCTAGAATCGATGAGTGCCGAGAAGACAAGGACATTTGAGCTCCCCCATCGGGTCCTCCAACAGAGCTACCAGAATAACCAGCCCCTGGCTACAAAATTTACAAAAAATAAGAAACAAAACCAGACCCATGATAAGTCTTGAATTATAAAACATGCGTAGAATGTTATTGCCAGGGAAAATACTAAAATCCAACAAAACCAGGCGCAATTCCACAGCTCTAAATCCAATTATTCACTCGTATTAAACATGCTCAGCAACAATAAAGATTTTAAAATAATCATTTAAAAACAAAAAAGTTAGATGTCACAGCAACATCAAAGCAAGCAAATTTTATCAGTTTTTCTCACAAAACCAATCAGTATAACCATACAAAAACCTTTTACAATCAGAGCATTCAATCCCATCATAATACATACAAATTAAAACAAAACCCATTAGAAACTAATTACAAAAAAAAGGAGCTTGAAAACATAAAAATCCTATGGTGAAAAAAATAAAAATAAAAAATAAAAGACTCACATTTTGGGCGTATCCAGATTGGCCGCCGTAGAGTTGCTGCCCGTAGGCATTCGTCGCTCTGGACGAATACATTAAACTAAATAATATAAATTAAACCTGCATTAAACAACAAACAAAACAATGTCAATTAAAAAACAAAAGAAACAAAATCTTTCTTTTACTTGAAATATAATAGTAGAAACCCAGATTCTTTTTAATGCAAAAAATCGGATAAATAAATTAAAAAACTTAAAACCCAAAATGGAGAAGATAATGGGTAATTACTGAAAAGACAAGCGCAAACAGATTATTGATAATTGTGAAAAAAAATGGAAAATTGACAAACCCTAATGCATGGGGGAGAAGAACTGAGAAAGGAAGAAGGGACGCGTTACTTTAAGGATGACTAGAAACTGAGACAAAACAAGTACTCAGACAAAACAAGGATGATTAGCACCAAGTTTTGTTTTGGTGTCATCGTTTTCATACGACGCTGTCAGAGTCGTTCATGGGCGGCGGGCGTACGAGAAGTAACTGGTTTAATAAATGTCAGCCCAGACTTTCATGGGCCTTAATCAGGTCAGTTGATTTGGGCCCTTATGGCTCGAAGCCCGAAGCAGTTCCAAGATAAAAACCCAAAGATTTGTTTAATCAACACCATTTAATTTTATCTAATTATTCGTATATTTTTATCACATAAAATATTAATAATTTATATATTTATATCATATTTTATAAGAAAATTATATGTTATAATTTATATCAATGTAAAAATATAAAATATATATTTTTAATTTTATTAAATATATTTATAATTTTTATTAAAATTTTAAATCATGTTATTTTCGTATCTTTTATTCGTATTATTTTTATATTATATCACCAAATTTTATTTAAGATTGTTGGATCTACCTTTAATTTCTATATTTTTTTATGTGTCTATAATATTTAGTAATTTTTTCATGATTTTTGTTTTTTATTAAAACTAAAATAAAACCCAAAATCGTAGAAATCCAATATTAAATATATAATAACAATATAATTTCTTTTCAAATCTTGTATGTTCAGTAAAAATAAATGATTCAATGAAAGTATCGAACATTTTCATTGTTATTAACAAAATATCAAAACGTAAATAAGATCACGAAGAAAATATAATAGTAAGATTGTTTGATTATTAAAAAAAACAACTGCATCCATATTATATTAGTTATAAACAAAATCTTGATTTCGCTTATTTATTGATTTCTCAATAAATAATTTTATTTTCAAAATACAAATTTAGCGAGCAAGAATAAAAATAATTTTTAAAAAATTAATAAAAAAATTTTTTAATTATTAATATAAAAAAAGTGCATCTTTCTCTCTTCATACATGCTGACTTGGATTTTTTAATCATGTGGATTTAAATTTCATAATTTAAAATTAAAATTGCCGTGGTGAGACATTTGTTTGGAAGAAGTAGTGATGTCCTTGTTTTTTTAAAGAAAATATATTGTCATATCTTGGCCTAGATCATCTTAAGCATGTGTTGATAACAAAATTTTTCAACTTCTCTATCATATTTGTTCTTTTTTTTTATTTATTTTCATGTAAATGAAATTGTAGCTTAAAAATAATAAAAATAATTGTGATGACTAAAATTTAAATTTCAATCTCATTGCATATTATATTTGAATTAAGTTTCTAATTTTTTTCTTTCCCTATTTTAACTCAACAAGAAGAATTTCATTTACAATTCTTTTTATTATAATATTGTAATTATTCAATCACAACAAAAAAAATGTAAAGATATACCCTTTAAAAGTATAGATTTTATATAATTTTTTTATAAATCTTACACAATATTAAATTATTATTAATTAATTGTACTATAATAATTACATGTAATACACTCTCCATCCAACAATATTTGTTAACTTGTTTTTCATGAACAATATGGATAATTAAATTCAAATCTAAAACAAGTCTTCAAAGTTAAAATATAAATTACTCTTAGTCCCTTTTTATAAAATTTGTTTACATAAATTTTAAAAAACCCTAATTTCCTTTAAAAAAAAAAACTCCTTTTTTCATTAACCACTTTTATCACCAAAATGATTTATCCCTTCTCTCATATTTTCTCAGCTTTCTCAAACCATCATCCATAGCTCTTTGATGGAACCACAAAATTAAATTAAATGTATAAAAATATAATATATGATTATTAAATTAATGAAATTATCAAAGGCTAGTAAGAATAATTTTTAATTTTTTTTATAATTAATATTACGTCAGTTAATTTGCATCTATTTGTCAAGAATTGATACAATTAAATATTTTCATTTTCACACTTTTTATTTCTTTTAAATATAAAATAAAATAAAATAAAAAACCTCACCTCTTTAAATATTGGTTCTAAATTATCCATTGATAATAAAAACAAAACAAGCAAAGGTCAAAGTCAAAGACAGCTCTCCAATCAACGGAGGAGATTCATAGAATATTCCTCAAAGTCTCCAAACTCATGATTGACGGTCAAGTTGCCGCGTGGTGGTTCGATCTTAAACACGGATCATGGATCAATGTTTCGTCACGTAGTCACGTGACATTAAATTAATCCTACAAATAGTTGTAATCAAACTGGGATTAGCATCGACTACGGCGCACTAATGACGTGGCAAAGGCTAGAACCACAAGTTAATAATCTTTTTTTTTTGCCTACGTTTCTTCTAAAAATTCTACGATGCTTATCCCTAGTCTACTACTTTTGGCAAGTGGCACGTTTCGCTCTTTTAGTGGTGTTGATATAACCTTTTGATGACTCATTCACTAAGTGTCCCCATTTATTGGCAAAGTGAGAGCTAGCTATCGGCGTTATATTATCGTGTAAAATATAAAAATTATATATTAATATTATATTATATATAGAAATTATTTATTATAATTTATATTGATATAAAAATATAAAATATATTTTTTAATTTTGTTAAATTTTTATATAATTATTATTAAAATTTTAAATTTTATTATTTTTTATATTATATTTATATTATATCATCATATCATATTTTAAATTATTAAATAATTAAAATTTTATTAAATTTATTTACAAATTAATTTTTTTTAAAAATTAAAAATTAATTATTATAACGATAAAATTAAAATAATATAAATATATGAAAAATATAAATGTAACAATAATAATGAAATTGAATATGTCAATCAACTGTATGACCAAAAGCAATTTTATCGTTATAATTGAAAAATGTCATACTTTAATTTTACATTAAGACATTTGATTATTATGGAATCTAATGAACCATTGAATCTTTTTCCTCTCTAATCTCTAATTGAAAAGACGATGCGTTAAAAGCCTTCGGTAAAAAGAACTTAAATGTGATGGAATCTAAATATATCATTAGTTTATTTATATAATTATTTTTAAAAGATAATTTTAATTTATTTTTTAAATAACATCCACTTTTATAATAAAAATTATTTTAATAGTTGATCCAATAGTATTTTCATCCAAAAATTATTTAATTATTATAAAATAATTACAATTTTCAAACTTATTTTAACACGATTGATTCACATCGATTCTTAAAATTAAAGGTGCACATGGGATAAAAAACTTTGTTTAGTAAGTCATACGATAGATCTAAGATATTTTGTCATGATCTTTTAACAACTGCGGATAGTATATTGATGTACTTCAAAGGAACTTTTTTCTTATGACTAAAAACACAAGTACAAAAATGCTAAAAAATGTTAACTAAGTATTTTAAGAGTACTTTTAAAAATTAATTAACATATTATTTATAATATTATTATATTAACCAAGAATATATAATCGATATCATAAATTTCATTGCATTAGAAGAATTATTTTAAATATATTTTTGAAAAATTATTATTTTATATGAAATAAATACATAAATTATTATATCTACGTGTATAATTCATTATTATCTCGTCTGATGAGATACAAAGAACCTAGCACAAGAATTCAGTCAAAGGGATTATGTAGAAAGAGTGGCAGGTGTTGGCCACGTTCCCGGGTATTGGCTTATGATTATGATGTGAGGTTCATGAATAAAATGTCAAGTTATCAGCCAATCAAAATCCATTTTAGCCCACAATAATAAGACAAAATCATTCCACGATAAAACGCCGAGCTCTGAATTTGTAAACATTTCAAACGCCATTCGTTACCTCGGCCGTCCCTCCTCTCAATCTTCTCCCCCCATAGTTATCCTAAAATTTTCGATTAAACCAAACTTGTTTCCTTGTTCGGACAAGAAGAAACAGAATGGAAAGAGAAACCAGCTCTGGCCTTCCTCCCGGTTTTCGGTTCCACCCCACAGATGAAGAATTGATTATGTATTACCTCAAAAACCAGGCCAAATCAAGGCCATGCCCTGTTTCAATAATCCCAGAAGTTGATATATACAAATTTGATCCATGGCAATTGCCTGGTTAGTTTATTTATAATCTGCCAAAACTATCATTTATGTTCCATTATTTATGCTATGCTGACTCCTGCTGTTCATGATATTGTAGGGAAAGCTGAAATTGGTGAAAATGAATGGTATTTTTTTACCCCTCGAGACAGAAAGTACCCTAATGGGGTGCGCCCCAATAGGGCATCTGTGTCAGGGTACTGGAAGGCTACTGGGACAGACAAAGCCATATATAGTGGTTCTAAATACGTTGGGGTGAAGAAAGCTCTTGTGTTCTACAAGGGCAGGCCACCAAAGGGAATCAAGACTGACTGGATTATGCATGAATATCGGTTAAGCGATTCGCGAAAACAAATCACCAAGCAAAATGGATCCATGAGAGTAGGCTTTTTCTTTTCAGATCTTGGTCATTCCAGGAATTGCCGTGATCATACTATTTTTATGTAAACTGACCAGATCAGGGCTTGTTTTTGTGTGTATTTTCAGCTGGATGATTGGGTCCTGTGCAGAATCTACAAGAAGCGGCACACAGCTGGGAAAGTTTTGGATCAAAAAGTGGAAGAATCAAATACCCAAATTGACATGATAGGGTACTCAAATGATGCTAGTGAAAGCCAACAAATGTTGAAATTCCCCAGGACATGTTCATTTTCTCATCTATTGGAATTGGATTACATGGGTCCAATTGCCCAACTTTTGAGTGAAAACACATACAATACAACCTTTGATTTCCCTCACACCATAGACGATACCGGTACTGACCATGTTGAGAAACTTCAGCTAGGAGAAATATCTTACCAAAACACTGATGCAGGGAAGTTTCAAGTGATCAATCAGAGTGGGATCCTAAACCAGCAAGTATATATGAATCCCATGGTGTATCAGTTTCAGTAATAGATATGCATTTGATTGTTTTCACCTCAAAGAAATATTGGATTGGCTAGACACGTAAGAAAATGGATCACCCTTATCCATTCCAAAAATTGTAAAACCTGTTTGCTCAGAGATTATATATTTAGATGTTTAATCTGTGATAGAAGTTTCAGCCATCTGATTCAAGTATTATAAAATTAATATTGATTAATGTAAATTTTAATTATGAAGCTTAAATTTTATAGTGAATGAATATTGATGATTCATATCAAAATCAAAGACAATGTGAAACATAATCCCTAACTCTTTTTCTCCTAGTTAAATGCAACCTGAAGAGTTCAAGAAATCTGTCCCAAGCAGTAATTTTGCTAATGAAACAATAATCCCTTGATTATTTGCTTCTAATTTATTCTAAAAAATTAGGCATGGATGATGATGATATCAAAGAAGATTTTTTTTTAAAAAAAAAATTAAGATATATTGTTTAGTTTCGAATCAAAATAAGATGTGTGATATTTGATAATTTAAAAATAATAATTTTAAGTTTTATATTTAAAATAATCTTAATAAAATATCATTTATTTGACTCGAAATCAAAATTATTTATATAAAAAAATTAATCTTATCAATTGAGTCAATTTCTAATAAAAAAAAATTTTCGTTTGAGTTTTTTTTATATCGAATAATTATTTTAAATTTCGAATAATTTAAAATTAAATCATATTAAATTTTATTAGAAAGATAAATTTTTTAAAATTTGTTTTTTTATCATAAAATTTAAAATTAAAATTTTACTTAAGGAGAATAAAATTTATTACTAAAATTAATAAGACATAAAAATCTTTGATATTTAGGTCTTAGGTGCCACACGACAAATTTTGAAAGAATATTGGAAGTAGATTGGCATTAACCGTTGTCTGAAACCATAGGCAGACTTTGGCTGGTTGGATGGCTATGCATCACTTATCCAAAAGAAAACAATTAATTAAAGGTGGTGGGGATGGTCAAAAGCCTTGTCGAAAACAACACTGTGGATAATGCGTCTTGAATTGATGATGCGTGCATGGGCTAATTTTGTCGTTGCAAATGATGCTGATATTTCAAAAGACTTCAGATTCTACCATCATCACACTGGCACCTGAAACAAAAGAATTGTGTTTGAACAAGCTTAATCCGCTGCTGGATTCCTTGAATGAGTCATATTGCATTAATTGCTCATACATTGTGCTTTTTTTTTTTTTTTTCCCGATCTTAGAAAGGTCAAATCCGCTCTGTGAGCAAGAGCTGCATACATGCACGTATCTATGATACTGTGATTGAGCCAAATGCTCAAATGAATGAACGTTGGACATGTGTAAACCTTCGAATTTTAGCCTCATGAGATTAGTTTAATTGGCAAGTAAGCACACTTTTACGCTGTTGACGTCTACGTATCTTAATATCTTAAGTAGCTCTGAAAATTTTGGACACAATATAATGATATAACATAATAGCTTAATATAAAATGAATACGAAAAATATATGAAAATGATATTATTTATGGATTTGATATATCAAAAATATTTTATATATATTAATTGTAATATTATAATTTTTATATTATATATATTTAATACAAAATAAATACGATATAAATATATGAATTATTAAATTTAATTTTAAATAATTTGAATTTATCCAATCAAATGAGACTCCTAGTAATTAAAAATGAAATAATTAATTTGTTTAGATTAAGGCTAAAGATGCAAAAGAGGTGAAACATTTTTTAAAGCTATAGCATGCAAAGAATGTTGACAAAGTAGTCGTTAATTCATGAACTTCACAATCTATCTACATTTTAGCATGCCAGCTGGCTCCTCTTTGCTATACTCATTATAAGAGGCGTTATTTCCCAAGTCATTCCATCAACAAATTACATTCAATTTGTGTTCATTTTAATCTAAAATGGAAGTAGAAATTGATCTTTTCTCAGTTTTTTCTTCTGCAGATGGATGCAACATGGGAATGCTGATGCTAGCTTGCCTGGTTATTTCCTGGATCTTCATCTACAGATGGAACCAAAGGAACAAAAAAGGCCCGAAAGCATGGCCACTCATTGGAGCAGCGATCGAACAATTAATGAACTATGATAGAATGCACGATTGGCTTGTCAAATACCTGTCCGAATCAAAAACCGTGGTAGTTCCAATGCCATTCACAACTTATACATATATTGCCGATCCTGCTAATGTTGAACATGTCTTGAAGACCAACTTTGCCAATTACCCCAAGGTAAAGCTCCCATTATTCAACAAATAATTCATTTTCCATGGTTGTTGGACTGCAATTTTCTGTCTATATTGGTTATTAGATTTAAAGGTTGGTGTCCTGTTTTCTTAAAATTGAAAGGGTGAAACATATCATTCCTATATGGAAGTGCTGCTTGGAGATGGGATTTTCAATGTAGATGGTGAGCTATGGAAGAAGCAAAGGAAGACAGCTAGCTTTGAGTTTGCATCCAAGAATTTGAGGGATTTCAGCACTGTTGTCTTCAGGGAATATAGTCTAAAGCTCCATTCTATTCTGAGTGAAGCTTCTTTCCACAACCAAGAAGTGGATATGCAGGTAACTTCCACAAGGTATTTGTCAACATTTAGAGATTATGGGGAAAAAAAATGTCATGGTTTTCTTTTCATAAACATGACAAATGACACCTTGTGTATTGTGTTACTTTTGACATTTTTTTTTCAGGACTTGTTGATGAGGATGACTTTAGACTCCATTTGCAAGGTGGGGTTTGGTGTAGAAATTGGAACTCTGGCTCCCAATTTACCAGATAACCGCTTTGCTCAGGCATTTGATACAGCAAACATCATTGTGACACTTCGTTTCATTGACCCACTGTGGAAATTGAAAAAATTTCTCAATGTGGGCTCCGAAGCTCTACTTGGCAAGAGCATTAAAGTCATTGATGAGTTCACATACAATGTCATAAGGAGAAGAAAAGCAGAGATAAAAGAAACTCGGGAATCTTGCAAAACTATCAAGGTGAACTGATATTTTAATACCAAGGTTGCGTTTTCTGTTCTTTATTTCATTTTCCCAGTGTTCTTATCCAAGCAACTTTCTAAATGATAGAAAAATCAGATAAAGCATGACATATTGTCAAGATTTATTGAGCTAAGTGAAGACCCGGAAGGAAAATTGACTGACAAAAGTCTTAGAGATGTTGTCCTGAATTTTGTGATCGCTGGCCGTGACACAACAGCCACAACTCTGACATGGGCCATATACATGATAATGAGCCATGATCATGTAGCTGAAAAGCTTTTCTCAGAGCTTAAAGCTTTTGAAGAAGGACAAGCAAGAGAGGAGAAGATCTCATTGCTACCATATGACTTGGAAGACCCTGAATCATTCAATCGAAGAGCGGCACAATTTGCAGGTCTCTTGAATTATGATTCACTAGGGAGATTGTATTATCTGCATGCGGTGATCACAGAGACACTCCGTTTATATCCAGCAGTTCCTCAGGTATACATTTTCCCCATTTCAGTTGGTAAACAAGAAAAGTCGTTGGGGCTTTTTGAATGTGCCAAGAGGGTCTAAACTAGGGTAGTTCCTCAATCTCAACTCCCAAAAAGGCTTCAGAAATTGTGCCCAAAAGAAAGCAGATGATCTGGATATTTCTGGTTTTATGACAAAGTAAACATACTTGGATGATTACAGGACCCCAAGGGCATTTTGGAGGATGATATCTTGCCTGATGGAACCAAAGTAAAAGCAGGAGGCATGGTTACTTATGTTCCATACTCGATGGGCCGGATGGAGTATAATTGGGGCCCTGATGCTGCTTCATTCAGGCCCGAGAGATGGCTCAAAGAGGGTTACTTCCAGAATGCATCTCCATTCAAGTTCACTGCATTCCAGGTATGATGCAAAAGATCTTCATCTTCGGATAAATCCTCATGCACCCAACAGGGTAACAGCAGATTAAACTAACACTGTTGTCCGTCAGAACTTACAGTTTCTTTACATTAAATTCATCTATGATCTATTGTGGCTCTTGGTTGGTTATTGTTTTTTGGTGACATGCAGGCTGGACCAAGAATATGCCTCGGGAAGGACTCTGCATATCTCCAAATGAAGATGGCATTGGCCATTTTCTGTAGATTTTTCAAATCCAGTTTGGTGCCAAACCATCCAGTAAAGTACAGGATGATGACTATTCTATCAATGGAACAAGGCTTGAAGCTCAAAATAGCCAGACAATATTGAGGTGGCTTTATTGGCTTTATTGGCTAACTATCATATGTCCAAATGATAATATGCAAAAATTATTTATATTTCACAATCAATCAACTCAGACTGTTAGCTATCAGATTTTGTTACAAATATTAAAGATGGCAATATTATTGGGCCCGGAAAAAAAAAGACAGAATCATGACAGCTCAATTTAGCCAATAATAAATTCGGAATAATATAATCCCAGCCAAGCAATACATAATGTGGGCAAAAAATAAGGAACACTATATTTACGTGAAAAGCCCTCCATGAAGATCGAGGAAAAACTAGTACCATGACAGTCTGTTTCAGCTACAGTAACTCTAATACAATGAAACTCTAATATTTCATTTGGTATGTAATTGATGAAGGAAAAAGATCTCACATCGTTAATTTGGATTTTAAATGCATTTTCTCAAAAAATAAAATGTAACAACACAACATTAGTCCTCAAAAATAATAATATGTCACAATCCAACTATCCTTGCATAATATTGTAATACCAACTAAGTTCGAAGAATTGAACATGAGAAAACAAGCCTCAATTTCGATGGTGAAGGCCCATGCCTCCAAATCACCATTGCAACAAACTCTCCCTCCCCATAATACGAGCTTCCTTTCCATCCCAACAAAGTAATGTGATAATCTCCAACCAGAGAAAACTTGTAACAACATTTCTGGTTACTTCACTAGCTAGCAGCACTAGGGTTGCACGGCACCGCAGCAGCAGCAGAGAATTGGGTGGGGAACAGTTTTTCGAGCCTGGTTTGTCGCCAGATGATGCTGCGGCAAGAATTAAACAAACTGCTGAGGGGTTTCATAGTATAAGAGACATGTTGGAGAACATGTCATGGAGGTACGTCATGTTTTACATTCGACTAAAGCAGCTTATCTTTCTCGGGATTTGAAGAATGCCATGCGTACATTGCCCAAAGGCTGAAAGGAAGTATATGTGAGAACCGCAGATGATTGGTCGATAACATGGCTGAGGTACGGTCATAGCTATAGTCTTCATTGCATTGAATTAGTATTATTTTTACATATGAAATTAAAGTAAAAGAGATTATATTGCTTGTAATTTCAAGCATGCTTTTTCTTAATTTTCCTTGTTTGTTTTTTTCGTTCACACACCAACAGTACACGAATCATACTTGTACTACTAGAGGACATTGAAATCCATAGATGATCTAGTGGTATTGTAGGGGTACGACAGAGGTACCAATGCCTGATGGAGATTTATCAGCAATTGGCAAGTTGCTTCCATGTGACCATAATTATTATTCACAGTAAGATAAGGAAATGTTGTGTTTCAACCAACAAATATATGGTGATCAAGAAATCTTCAACTTTTAGGACATGTATTTATTATTTTCCAGCTGCTGTTCATATAATTATCAGAGAAATGCTGAAGTTACACAGTAACAAGTGTAGTTTCACATTTTGTAATTAATAAGAGTCGGGATTGCTCTGATATTTCTTATGATCTAAGATTGGATTGATTTTTGCAAACTAGTTTGAAAAGTAAACAGCCTTATTGCTATTGGCAGTTTAAAGAAAGACGACTGATCAGAAACACAAAATTCCATAACAAAATAGAAGCCTCAAACCAGCTCCGAGAAGAGCAAGACAAATACAGAGTCAAACATGTTCCAACAGTCCTAAACATTTGTGTTTCTGTAACTGGAGCAAATTTGGACCGACAACGATGAACCATGTTCCAACAATAATTTTTAAGTTTCAAACCAGGAGCATTTTTCTCCTGTATTATTTAGGTTCATTTTTTGACTTAAAATCCTAAGCGTTCGTAATCACAGTCATGACGTGCTACAGCAATGCATACAATAGAGATGCAACAAGGCCATATATGGGGGTTTTGTTCAACATTTTTCCGGAGATCCAAAGAATTTTAAAACATGTTTGGCAGAATGATGATAAGGGCATTCCAAGTGAAAAGGGTCATGCCACTAACGCTTTCTAGTAAACCTCTTTCGGTTTGTCTCAAGACCTTCCATATTCGGTAAGCTAAAATCTTTCAATCAGAAACTATATTTTCTTCTAATTCCTTGAACTTTTGGTGAACTAGCATTTGCCATATATGCAAACACAGGGCAATTGTCTCATACAATATTGACATTTAAACATGCTAAAATGAAGGAAATGTTATATCTACCTGATATATACTAGGGTAGGAACTTACTTCGTAACGTGATTTGACCCTCCCTCATATGGCTTGCACCTCCTCCATTACTGTCATGTGTAAGTGCTCCAACTCCGGCATTTCCACTTGTATTATCAGCATAGATCTAACATGTGAAAATGAGACAGAATTGTAGCCAAAGACAACTTGCCGGTTATCTCCACCAAAGGTTTGTTTCATTTATGTCTTTATTAATTAGCTATCCGGTATTCCAATGAGCAGTTCAAATCTTCGACAATAAAATTAATATAATACTTTAATGATAATAGACTACTTTATACATTATTCCAGATGTCCCAAAAAGGAAAAAAGTTTCCATCTATACACAAATCTAATATTTGAAAATAGCTAGCTTTGATATATGGAAGAGAAAGCCTAGCCGGCAAGTCATCCTTGGCTGCACTACTTTACCTCATTTCCACAGGCTAGACCTTAGATGAAGAAAGACGACATGGATCCAGCAATGGATAAGTAACTTCTCTTTTTCACTACACCTAGTAAAGGGGGGAATCAAAGAATTGTATGACTCTCAGGAGTGAGCTTTAGGAACTAAAAGGAGGAGCAGAATGTATCAGAGCATGTTTTATCCTGATGAAAAGAACTGTAAAGTTTCCATAAGAGAGTTTGTTGTTTAATTGAGGTCTATGCCAATGGAGGTTTGATGATGTATTCTGCAGAGAGGGAAATTGAAAAACAGTGGGTGCCATAAAACCAAGAATGAGTTCAGCATATAAACGTGAAGGCCTTGAGGGACTGAATGTGACAACTGCATGGGTCCTGAAGTCAGCAAACTCATGCCTTGATCACTTAATAAACTCAGAGTAGCTTATAGCCAAGTTGCCCGTGGCCCATATACAGCCTATTTATGTTTTTGATTACTTTTTGGGTTCCAATATTTATGTTTCCGATGATGCTTTTTGATTTACAAGTTACAACAAAGATGATATTTTGCAATCTGCAATCCTAATCAGACTCTCAACTAGTTTATTGAGGTTGTTTTGGAAACAAAACCTTGTCACTTTCCAAGTTTGAGTTTAAGACAAGTGACTAGGAGCTGATCCACTAATTGCAGAAGTTTACGCAATTGAAATGTTTGGCTAGGATAGGAAGACATGGGCAAACTATTATTTTGTGAGAGTGAAAATGGCGATCTATGTCAACGCCGTAAGGAAAATTTTGAGCTCCCAAAACCTTTCAAAACAAAGTCGATTGATGCCTATCCAATACTACCAAATTGACAGTCTGTTCGACAGATCATCATTACATTGTTCCTAGGCAGAGTGATAAGATGGATAAATGAACAAATCCAAAGTTACGGAAGAGATAACAAAGGGAGGGAGAGATTGATTCTGGTTATGATGTAATAGGAATGGGGCATGAGTGATATGTTGGGGAACTCGTGATCTATGAATGTGGTGGTTACGGGGGTGACATGGGCTGAGGATGGCGTTTGTCTACCAATTTCGATCCTAGATCCTAATGGAGTAGATAACATTTCTCTGAAAGAAATCAGCCACCACCCATCTCTTTTTTCTTCCATCCTTTTCAGGTATAAACTGTACATGACGCTTGCATTTCTGTTGCAAAGATTACTTCATCTCCACGTCTCTTTAAATTCACTTTACTTTAAAAGTAACGTAAAATGTTAGTAGAGAACTAAAATTTTAATTTATCCGATTTAAATCCTGATAATTTCGAATAAAAAGTAAATTTGTCACTTCGTAAAATTATTCAGATTTAAGATTTTGACTACTGTAGTTGATTACTTTCAATTCAAGTACAAGCGTTTTATTTGAAACTACAAATCATTCACATCAACTATTAATACCAGAAAAACACATTAAACATATGAAATGAAAGTTCTAATGAGAGATTTTCCCAAAGTTTGACAGCCACAACCTTAAGAGAGCAATGAGTAGAAAATTTCGGTTTTCATAAAATCAGTCATTATCAAAACGCAGATGACAGATCACTCAAGAAAACAATACCCAAGAAACCATAGTAGCAGTAATCAATCAACACAATTTGGGCCCACGTTTCAAACCAGTTCAGGTTCTAAACCACCATAAAAGAAATGTTCTTCACGTTGATGAATTGAATATGAAATAGTAGGAGATTAAAGTCAGTAAGGCCCGTCCTTTTCATTCAAACCCTTCACCCTTTCGTCAAGCTTTAGCAGAAATTCATTATACACGTACCAAAGAAACTAAGCCAGTAATTTATTTGTTAAATTTTATAACTTGGGTTCTGTTTACTTTGTATTGTAATAAAGCCGGCAGATATGCTTGAAATTTAATGGGATTTAGTTCATCTTTTGATTCCCTTCACCAAATTTAATTAGTAATTCATGCTCCAATATTGATTGATGATCAGAAATGAGAACTTTGGTTTCAATCTGACCTTCAAACTGTAACTCATATGGAGTCTTTGTTTTTACTGTAACAGCAATTTACTGTGGAAAAAATAACATAAAAAATGTCACAAATAAATAATATTGAGGATGTAAAGCACAAGGAGGTGGTGGATGACGGTGAAAAATATCAAATTTGTGATGAAGAGGGTACTGTGGTAGAGAAGGTGAAAGATTCAGATGAAAATAAAGACAGTCTGATGCCCTCAGCCAAAGAGGAGGTAAATGATATTCATGGTGCTGACTTTTGCATGGTTATAAATATTTCAACAGTGAACATTTTTTGTTTTCTGTCCTATTTAGATAATATATTTGGTCGGTGGATTTTTTTTTTTATTTTAGAGTGCGAAAGCATAACAGTTAAATTTTAATAATTTATTTATTCATATTAAACTATTAAATTTATATATTTATATTATATTTATTAAAAAATTATAAATTAAATTATATGATATGAAAACATGAAATATATTTTTTATTTTTTTAAATTTAAATCGTTTGATAATATTTAATTACAATATTTTGACGTGTCCAAATAAATTTGATAATTTTAAATACGATATAGTAAAAAAAAAATCTTATTTTCATGAATTTATCAAACACCAGTAATTCTAGTTCTCAATCTTTATTTTCTACATCTTCTCTTAGTTTATTTCTCTATTTTCCTGTACTTAAAAAGTCTTTTTCATTTTGCCAGTAAGAGTTTGACACTAGTGCAGCTCAAACCATAATAAATCACATTGTCTTACTAAAAAATCTTTGGATAAACCATAAAATCTTCTTCAAAATTACTAATGAAAATATATTCTCTATAAACTTTATCAGCAATTCTATTACCCTTTAAATTTTCTCAGGCTATCAAATAACTCAAAAAATTTTAAGATATCCACTTCTTCAAAAAAGACCTTGTTATTGGTTTTGATGTCATAATCAGTATACCAAGCTTAAGACTTAGTGGAAATGGTATAAAATTTGAAAGTTATTTCAAATTTTGAAAAAACCTTCTCAACCTTTTCATCTTAATCATACAACCAAATATTTTTCAAGAATTTAGACAAAAATTCATTTACTTTTTTCGTGCAAAAAATCATTCAGAATTTCTCTAAAAATGTGATCACCCTCTTTGAAAAACCCTAAATTTTTCATTACTCTACCCTTAAAAAAATATTAGAATGCCAATCATATAAAAGTAAATCATTTAGGCATTAACATAGATCATTTCCAATTAGCAACTAAGAATATTCCCTTCTCCAGGCTTAAAGAATAGTAGTATAATAGGATAAAGTCATTATTAAAGTAATGACATTTACAAAAAACTTTACATAAAGCTAAAGTAACTTTAATAAAGTAAATATGACTCATCATTTATATGACATAAAGTAAAAATAACTCATAAAGTAGACATGACTTGATTAAAGTAAACTAGACATAAAAGTGACTTAACATAAAGTACACTAAAAGTGATGGTGAGTTGGTGAGATGTCATTATCATTTTTAGAGTCTTTTGGAAAGTATTTGGAGATGATTGTTATACGTAATTATATATAATTGGATTGAAACAGGAAATCTTTTGTCTTTGAGCACTATGAGTGGATTTTTAACTTGATCAACATCATTTGAGAGAGTGATAAGTGTGTTCTGGAGAAAAGTTGAGGTGCGAGTTGTTTGCTCATAGAGTGAAATCATAGCCTATGCTTTTCTAATCATTGATTTGGATTAAAATCTTCAAAACGGTCTTGGGATTCTTGCTATCCATTTGTTATAAAACTTCCAGAGGTTTCCGGTAAGGATTTCATTATACTAGTCTTGTATGATCAAGTTCAAATCTTATAGTTTCAGGAAAAGGTTCTATCCAAGCATCATCAAGTTTGATTTCATAAATCTTTTTATCAATTTTAAGCTGGTAGTTGTATTCTGAAAAGTAGTTTCCCTATGAAACATCATCTTAGAGCTCTGACCAATTTTGCTTGAGAATTTTATGATTCATTTCACAAATCTATCTTTAGAATTCAGTACCTTTCATGGCAGAAAATGGTATTCCTATATGTACCAGAATGGCATTGTTGGACACAAGATTCAAAGAATACAAGCATGCAGTACTTTACATAATTAAAATGACCTCAATGCAGGAACTGTCTTATTTACAGTCTTTTCAAATTATAATATGTCTATTTATGATCCAAGACTGTTAAATGCTTTAAAAGTTCAAGTCTAGATTGTAGTCATAGAGTTCCCTCCATCCAAAAGACCTTAATAAATATTATCAACAATTTTTTTGGCATTTCTACATACTCAGTGAATTTGATGACGTGAAGCAAACTTTTCTCAATTATGTTTCAGAATAACTTGTACAACAAATAAGAATACAGTTGAATCTTAGATGTCTTGATGTTAGAACCATGAACCTTTGAGATATTTACAAAATGATATTGAAAGCCTTTGACAAGATTTGCAAATAGCACAGATACATCAAAAACTTGGTGAATAACTCCAAAAAGCTAGAGAAAACCATGCTCTTATTCTTCTTTTAGACTTCAGATCAAATGTTCTTCTAAAGACTACACATGTCTTTGCAATCACAAGAAAAAAAAATACTTCAAAAAATTCAGACTTCTAATAAACTCACAGTTCTCCTAATGCAACCAAGCTATCCAAGTTCAAATTTCCCTCATTTTCAAAAGTCTCATAAAGACCAATACAATCCAAAACCTTATTGATAGAAATGAATATGAAAACCAAAAAAGTATTACTCGTACTGAAGCAGTTTTAAACTGGTAGACTGAGAATTCTCTTCAATAGAATGCATACTTGTACAAAATTAAACACAAGTTAGATCAAGTCAGTTATCATTTTGATCAGAGCCTTGTTAATCTTTAAAATATTATTCTTAAAATTCAATAAAAGATAAAATATACAAAAATTACATGATTTAAAATTTTAATAAACATATTTAACAAAACAAAAAAAAATCATATTTTTATGTTGATATAAATTATAACAGATATTTTTATATATAATAAGATATAAATATACAAATTATTAATATTTTAAATAATATAAATATACAAATGATCATATTAAAATAAATTTTTTTCTACCAAAGTTTAATCGATGTCGTCATCTATGTTTGTTGACTTTGTAATGGATGGCGGCATGAAGTAAAGTTGCTCACAAACTCTTTACCAAGATTCTTAAAAGAAAATATATTTATTAGCATTCAAAAAAAGAGAAAACAAAAAAAAAAGAAAAGCCGCGGGTTATTTTTAGAAATACACAAAAGACAAAGTCCTAATTTGAAAAAAAAATATTAAATTAATCGCGCTTTCCCAATAATTTAGGGTTTTTTTTTTGTCCTCGTTTCTAAAATCGAATCTCTAGCATTTCCATCCACTTGCATTTCGTCTTTTGGGAATCGTAAGTCTCAAACTCTCTTGCATTCTCTATGTTTTCTGGTTTTCTCAATAAAATTTGAATTACTATTCATAATCACAGCTGAACTGTTCTTCACAGTTATTTTAATAAACTTCTGTAAGTTTTTCTTTGGTTTATTTTGTTAGAGTTAGTTACTTATACTTAGTTGCGAGTTGCCATTTTAGTTTTTTCAATTTTTCGAAGTTATTTACTTTTTTTTTCTTTTTATCAGAAATTATGAAACAAAAATTAAATTTTTTTGGCTGTTTGATTCTTAAATCGATGACACTATGTCAAGCTGAGATTGAAAAAATGAAGTTTGATTTGAGTTATGAGATATAATAATTTTGCTTAATTTTTCTGAAATTATTAGAATTTATTGCTGACATTTCCATTTTAGGAGTAACTGTGAGAAAGTTGATGTTTGAAAATTGGAATGATGGAAGCTTATTTGATTATTAAACTTGGAGGTAGACTTGGCAATTTAAAACACGATACGATGATACGACACAAACATAACATAGTTTAAAATTTTAGCAATTAACTATTTATGGGTTTAACAAAACAAAAACAAATGTATTTTATATTTTCGTGTGGACACAAATTATAATACATGATTTTCATGTAAAACAAGATACGAATACACAAATTTCAATATTTTACGCAACACAAATGCATAATTTCGTCTGGTCTACTTGGAGGGAATTATTTTCGTTGTTTCTCATTTATTTTATTTTATTTCTTTGTGAAAATTTTGGAATTGGATGTTTGTTTGTTGTTGTGTAGAGCATGATTTTACATCTAAGTGAACCTACTTTACCTTTTCCTTCCAAGTTTCTGTTTTGATGCTAGTGACTTTTGAAGAAAGAGGGTAAGGTGATTTATCATGCTTCAGCGAGAAAATGCCTTTCAGATATTTAACATGCTTTACTGATAAAATTGGTGGGTCCCATGATTTTTATATTTACTGAAGATTGGATTTTAATGTCAAAATAGTTGCACAGAATGTAAGTTGAGGATGTTGTAATTCTCTGAGTTATTCTGGGGCAAGCTTCATAAAAGTTGAAAGCTTGTTGAATTAGTACTTGTGAGGTTTACAAAAAATAGCTAAGACGGGGTCGCTGTGTTGTGTGGCTGCAAGGCCACATGGGTCAAATACAGCCAGTAGGGACTGGTCCATGGGTCCTCATGAGCCTTATTGGCGAACTAATACAAGCTTCTCGCCACCACCTTCAAGATGGGATTTCCATTTCCAACCCGATGGACTGTCACATGGTTCACATGATGGGATTCAAACGTATGGGTCTTCTGTATCTTCAAACAGCAAAGAAAGTAGCAGCTGGGTGAGGGGAAACCTTCTTTACAATCATCAATATTCAACATCTGATGGTGCTGGGCCCTTTTTAAGTAGTCCATCTGACCTTTCTCAGGGTCCGCAGTGGACACCTCCAGCAATACAAGAAATCACTCTTGATGATTATGAAACTACAACAAGAAGAGGTAATACAATTAAGAGTCTCGTTTTGATTGTTAACCTCCATTGACATTGAATCTTTATTCTCAGCTCCACCTGGTCAGTCATGGTGTTCATTTTCATTTTCCTTCGCTGGAAATGTTTTTGTCTTATAATGCGTGGGAAATTGGGTGATTTTCATAAGTAGTTTTTATTTGGTGACTTATAATTCTCGAGTGAAACAATTACGTAGAGGCTTATAAATAAATAGGCATGTAAAGGATGTACACTTGTGTGTACTTATTCAAATGTTATAATGTCTTCCTATGATGAGGACAATAATGTTTCTGATTTTTGTCACAAAGCGTGCTCCTCTCATTCCCTTTAAATGAAGAGGGAAACACCTGATTGCTAGAAAGCTTTATTAACTCCCTTGTAGGTTTATATGATTAGTTACATTTGTCATTTTTATCTCCTTCTCCTTATTCTATTTGATATTCTTGTCGAAGAGTTTCGATCCCTGTTCAAAACCATTGATTCAATATGACCCTCTTTTTTCCGTCAAACATTGTCATTTGGGAACAATGGCATATAATAGATAGTAGTTACATTGAAAGAAGTGTTAAAGAAAATGCAACAGAAATTCTGGCCTAAGCACCTGAAGTATTTCAGGAGTGCCTATGCTTTTAGACATTCCTCCACAAATCTGTTAACCAGCCATATATTATCAAGTTGCTCTTTAATATGAAGAAGAAAATCAAGAAGAGGAAGAAGAAAAATGCCGTCCCCTAAAATTAGTTTATAATTGAGCTGGTGTCATATTGCCCCTGTATCTATGTGGAACACAGTGGTCAACAAATATGTTATTGATGCCTTTTTAATGCATTTGAGATTTAAAAATCGAAATTTGGAGACATCTTATACTTGATAAAAGTTTGAATAATTTCTCTTTGCTTTGACTGAAACAACTTATTGCCTTCTTTTCCTTGTTAGATCAAGTTGCTGGGAAGTTGCCCTTTGCTTCTATTGTTGAGGTACCTTATTCTCATCTCCTCACTGGGGTTAAGTTGAGAAGTTTTTTCCTAGAATTTATGTTCCTTACTTTGATGGAATTTTGCAGGGCACCCCAAAAAATGCAGATAGTGGGGTCTCCTCTTCATCCCATTCAGACTGTAGCGAGTCTGAGCCCATGTTCATGTCATGCTTGTCATCTCATCGCAACTTTTCAAGTCGGCGTTACTTTATGTCCAAACCTATTCATCCCTTGTCCTTTCCCATGGTGACTCCTACTACAGAAGCCTCTGACTCTGGAGGTACTGGGTTTTCAGACAATGCTGGCACATCACAAAGAGATGCCCATGGCAGGAGCAGTTCAAGCAGCAGCAATGATTTTGCTGATGTTTCCGAGCCATTTGAGCCTGATTCTTTTGGTCGATTATGTGTCCCATCTGATGGTTTCAAATGTGGATTGTGTGAGAGATTTCTCTCACAGAGGTCACCTTGGAGTTCTCATAGGATTGTAAGAAATGGTGATAGGCCTGTTGCTGGGGTTCTTTCATGTCAACATGTTTTTCATGCAGAATGTTTGGAGCAGACAACACCAAAGACTCGTAAAAACGACCCTCCTTGTCCTATATGTGTCAAACTGGAAGAGCAAAATTCTCCAGATAACCGAGTCTTCTCTAGGTTTAGGAATGGGTTTGCAAGGCTTAGGCCATTTTCTGAGGATTGTCCATCTAGGCCTTGGGGCTGTGCACAGGCTGGAGACTGTGTTGAAGGGGCTTTACATGCACCCTCACGTAGTACCACGTTACTGGTGAACAGGAGTCGCATGAAGAAAAATCTCTTCATGAAGAGTAATTCGAGTAAAGAATTTCCTGGCAAGCTGAGGCAAAGTGGTTCATCTTCTTCGCTACTTTTTGGTGGGAAGTCAATCGATCAGGGTGCAATTGGGTGCTCAAAGACAATTGCCGGTCCAAGTGTGAAGTGGTGACATCAGTTTCAAGTTGGCCAGAACTGTGCAATTTATCAAGGTTGGGTAGTTGCTGAATGACATTGATTGTTTGGAAACTAGGAGATGCTGTATAGATATGGTTTTGTGGAAACAACATATGTTTGAAATCGAAGTTGAAATTTGTCAATTTCGTATGTCTCATACAATTTGTTTATGATGGTAGAAGTGTTACATGTTGAAACTCAAGTCTCTTCCTTCAATGTTATGTGGATCTAAGTGAACTTTGGTTGGACTGTATTGTCAGCGTTTGTGGGTAGTGAGATGTAATGGGCTTCAACTGCTAAGTATTGTAGTTGTCAACGGTGATTCATACCATTCATACCCAAGTTATGAACCCAACTTGTATTCCATATGTGAGGTGAGGCTCACACCTCCACACTTAAAATGAGAATGTCCTGGCCAGCTGGCCTGGTTTCCCTAGCCATTGAATTTTTTACTGTGGTTCTATAGCCGATGGTACACTTGAGTCACGCCTATTCTTGAGGACCATCTTGTCATGTGCTCTGTTGGCATTACTCTGGACAAGTGCACATTGGTGAGCACAACATGACACAGCCCGGATCTTTCATGCTTGTTTTTGATGTTTGACATTCCTTTTCAAGGCCATGACCAATCTTTTGCAATTGGGGTCTTTTGGCACCATGGTAGGGCTCCCCTTCCCACTAGCCATGTTGGGCATGTTCAAAACCCGTCATTTTCCTTACCAATAAAGTAAAATGACACAAAATCCTACTCCTTGAATCGAATCTCCAGTCCTACCCAAAAATGAAGAAAGAGTTGGGACTTTAAACGCGTTTGAAATATCAAATATTAATTCTATCTTCCATTAACGTCTGTCGTGAAAAAAATATAAAATTTTCTTTCACTTTAATTTTTAAAATTATAAATATTAAAATTTGAATTCTAAATAATCGCACCCAGCTTCGACCATCGGATAATGTGAATAGGAGACTGAGAAATTCTGGTTTACACGGGATCCGACAGCTAGTATAAGGGCATTCCCATGGGACCAATGCAAGTAAACTTTTATGACTGGCAATGAGACTAAAATCACAAGTAATCAACCTCGACCAGTTCTCAGTGTGATATGTTGGTCAGTTACGTGCGAAAGCCTTCTTACACATCATGGCAAATGTCAAATACTTGCACGCTTACTTGAATATTTGCATGTTATAGGGAATATTTATCATAAAAATTGAGAAATATCTGTCTAAAAGATCAATTGATTTGTGCACAACCTTTTCTTTTTTTCGTTTGTGTGAATTACTTTTGACTGAAAAAAAGGTGATATGGACATCGTGATAAAGAGTATTTTGGGATTAAAAAATTATTTGATAAATAAAAAATTTTAAGCAAACAAATTAACTCATCCTATATTTAATTTAATAATAAACGTATTATATAATAGACAGAATGCTTTTACAAATTAAATGTTTTAATATGATATATTTTCATTAACAATTATGTGATTTATTGAATTTTGTTGGATGTGATATTTAATTGAATATTTTAAGATGTTAGATTTTTAGTTTCGATTATCAGATTCAATTTTTAATAATTTAAAATATGTAAAAAATGATCAGTGAATGTTTAAAAGAGAAAACTTGTTAGGTTGGCAAAATTCAGCAGCAAAGTTTGAATTGCTTGAGCTTAATCATGATTCCAATTCGCCAATTTATCTGAATTCATGTATGATTGGTTTTGAAGAATTCCAAAAGCACACGAAAGGCAGAATTTCTTCAGATTGGCTAAAGAAACATGGGAATTTTGAATTCAAATTGGCTTCCCCATATCCAAAAATTAAGGCCATAAAAAAGGAAAGAATTAAAAGTAGAAGAAAACTCATTTTTAAGCCATGATTCTAAAGTAAAACCATGTGACGGAGGGTCATCAAAGCAGCTCAAACATGTTGGCCCCCTACATGTGAGACTGTTTCCAAGCAAAAGTAATGAAACTGGTTATGTAATGCTAACAGATATTGCTTTCTTTCATGGAAGAAAGTCCCAGCATGCATTTATAGCTAAGGGCATTGCAAGTGATGATTAGGGTTGTTAAAACTGAACTATTTGAAGTGGGTTTTGCTTTGTTTTTTAAAGAACTTTTTAAGTGCTTTAAAACATCATGATGCTGCCATTAAGGATTGTGATGCAGAGCTGTATTCAATTAGCGTTTTTTTTTTGCTTTGATCTCATGCAAAGATTCCAGTTTTGAGGTGGAGAATTTAGAGGATCTTCAATAGATCATTTACATAAAGAATTAAGAAAAATTTTCAGAAAATTCCATGTGAAAATTGATGTAACTTCAGTTTTTAAATACTAACTTCAATAACATATCAATTGATTTAAAAGATAATCCATGTATATTTTTTTTTATTATTTATAAGAATCATATCCTTTTTTTTTCTGTTTTTCTAAAGTGGAGGTAAATAGTGGAATTTACCAGAATTATTCTTATATTTTATTTCACCTTTCATCAATATAATGCAAAAATTTTGTTGAAAAATCAATGGCAATATATGCTGACCACAACTTTTTTACTTTTTTTTTTCTTATAAAAAATGGTAAATATTACAAATATTGAGATTAGTAAATTACCCATAGCTGCTTTTTTTTTTTTTTTTTATGTTGCCTGAACAAATTTCTACATGACATTAATCGAAAACGATTGATCAACAGTTTCATAAATTGTTAATTAAATTTTTAATTTTAATTTTGTGATTAAAATTTAAAATCTGTTAATAAAAATATGATTTGACAGGTCAGTGATAAATAATATATTGATTATATTGAAGGGAGAAAATTACAAAATATTGCATTTGCAGAACACATTTTTTTCTATTCAGAGCTTTTCATTTTACGTGAAATGTCTCAATCTCATATTAAAATAATCTGAAATTTTATTATAATATATAAATAAAAATTTAATTTTAAATTTAGGAGATATTTTTATAAAAAAAATATAAAATTTTTAAATCAAAATCATATATTAATTGCGAACCTCCACACCATTGGACTGTAGAATTTTGGTCTTTATAACTGTTGAGTAAAGAGCATTGGACTTCATTTATGTTAGCTAGCCAGCCACAGAGGAAGGACCTAAGGTGGGTGAAAAAAAAAACCTGGCTAACCCTGAGGCTGAATTAACTGTGTGATGGGCACCGGACGTTCAATCCAGCTCTTCGTAAAATGGGCCTCTGATTAATATGGGCCACTCTGTGTTGCAGTACTACGTTGCACGTGGTGTTCAACATCACCTTTTTTAATAACTTGGGAGAAATATAAAATATTAATAATATATAATATTTGCTTAATTTTTTTTTTTTTTAACTTTGGCATATGAGTGAGATTAAAAGTAATTACATTTAATTTAAATTGAATTCTATTTGATTTTTATTTTAATAATATATAATATTATAAATTTTTATATTATCAAATCTAATTTAAATCAATTTTAATGATTTGAGTTAGTTCATTCGATTCAATTTATTGATTTTTAAATTTAATTTTTATGTTTTGATATATTATTTTAATTTATAAATTTTAATATATTTAAATAAATTTAAATATAAAATAATTATTTTATTTTATAAAAATTTAAAAATATATAACAACTAATAAAAATATATAACTAGATTCAATTTTATTTATTTTTTATTTTTATTTTTTAATTTATGATAAAATTTGAATATAATATATAAATTTAATATTCATATTTAATCTAAATTTAATAAAAAATTTGATATAAATCTAATTAAATATTATAATTTCAAATCGATTTTTGATTTTTTCAAAAAAATTTTCGCACCTGCTTAAAACAAAAAAGAGAACTTAGATTCAACCTCAAATTTCATATAAATTTGCAATAAATTCAATTTTTTTAATATAAAAATTGATGTAACTCGAAATACAAATGTTAAAATTTATATCTAATTTTTTTAATATCAATTTATAAAATATAATCATATAAATTAATTAAATTAAATATCTTATTTTTACTTAAAAAATTATATAATCTATTTAATGACGGATTGGATTAGACTAATTTGGTCGTGAATCAGATGTTGCTGCTAAAATAGAAAGGGATATGATGACAAGACAAATAATTAGCTGGGTGAATAGTGTTTCAGTCACGAGGGAAACACTCTTTTTTAGAGCAGTTAAACTCCAAAGCTACAGCTCGAAATTATCGGCCATCTATGGCAGACAGGAGGATTCTGTTCTTTGTTCGGTCGAAGACGTTTAAAATAGAAAAATAAAAAAAGAAAAGCTCTTCAATAGCCCCCTTAGGCATTTAGACTCTATGGTTTGCATAATCTTGTCTGTGCAAAGAAGAATAAAAAGAAATTTCAGCAGCGTTAGTGTCGGCAGGTCCAAAAGTAATCAGGGTTTGTGCAATAATTGTACGTTAGATCTGAAATTTTATATGTATTTATTTTGTATGTTAATAATTTGTTTATTTATATTATATTTTATTTAAAATTTATGTCATATTTTAATTGATAAAAAATATGAAATATATATTTTTAATTTTTTAAAATTTATTATGATTTTTATTAAAAATTTAAATTATATTATTTTTATATTTTTTATTTATATCATTTTTATTATTTTTATGTATATTACTATATTATATTTTAAATTATCATATTTAACCTCGTTCTCAAAAGATCATCATTGAACCGTAAACAGAAAATCCTTCAAGACCATTTTAATTCTTTACCCTTTTTCTCGAGTGAATGACTTGAAATCTAGTTTTAATCTTTGGAACCCTGTAATAATGACAGACCAGAAGTTTTCAAAGTGTCCTTCACCCAATCCAACGAGTACTTACTTGGAAATGCATTTAGAGCAATTCCATCCACGCCCTCTCCAAGCGAGTGGCCGATACTCTCCAATAACTTGGGAATAATTGTATGGCGGAATTGTTCAGCTTCTACCCATTTTTGCAGCCCAAATTTGTGCAATGCACGGCGGTTGAGCATGGGATGGCAAACGTTTTTATATTTTGTTGTTAGGAGATTGAGCTTCACGTTCGGTGAATAAAATCTATTGGCATCAACACTGTTGGGTCTTACTGTCGTTTGCGTAAATGATTAAAGTTTAGAATTTTGATATAAAATATTTAAAATTTAAAATTTTTTATTAATAGGTGATTTATGAATTTAAAAAATTTTCATAAAAAAATTATAAATCTTTTTATAAGTTAGCAATTTATCTTGATCTTAGAAATAAAATAATTTTTCTTATTCTTAAAATTTTTCGTACCAAAAAAAATGTTGGGTCTTACTTACACTCTTTACTGCTTTAGTTTGATTTTTTGTTTAATTTTTTTAAGGTTGAAAGTGAAAGTCAAGTTGGAGAGCAAAGGCAATTGGAATTTGGGGATATTTGGTGTGGGTTCGGAGTCATAATAAGATATGATTAGGCTTAACATACCACATGGGGGTTGAAGAGATGGTCAGAAAGATAAAAAAGGAAAAAAGAGGGAATGAGACATTTTGCTTAAGAAGATTAGATTTGATTTGGGCTTAAAGTCTCAAGTAAACATGATTAAGCACATGGGAAATCTTTTGTTATGATTATATATATATATATATATATATATATATATAGAGAGAGAGAGAGAGAGAGCATGGAACTTTTGTAGGTAATACGTTAGAGGAATACATTATTTTATTTTATTTATAATATTATTTTATATTATCATATTATAATTTTATGTATCAAATATGTTATTTATATTTTATGATCAATCTTATAAAATACATAGAGATTACAAAGTTTAAAATGTATTTAAAATAAATTCAAAATTTAACTC